GGGTGAGCCTACAATTCGGAATAATAGGCGATTAGACAGTGCAACCATAATTATATGACTGCATATTATAACATAATCATAATCTTTTTACTCACGTATTCCTCTGGTTGTGCAGTAGCGATAAGTCGCGCCGCAGGTGCAACGTGGCTGATTATGGGTGCGGAGTAGTGTGCTGGGGCGCTGGCGTAAGCTACGGGGGCAATGCCGTATGCGGCACGGGGTTGTTCATGACGCACGATGTTCTGGGAAGAGACGGCGTGGCCGGTGGCGATACGGGCGGGAGCGGCATAAGTGGCAACAGGGGCAGCTTGGTAGGCGAGGGGAGCAGCATGAATGGCCACTGGGGCGGCGTGGATAGCCTGGGGCTGGTCGTGTCGCACGATGCTCTGGGAGGAAACGGCTGCGGCCGATGAGTAGTGAGGCTGGGGCAAGAGACCTGCCGCAGACACAGCCAATACGGCGCTCAAAGCTAAAACCTGTGAATATTGCAATATCTTTAAAACAAGTGTTTTTATTGCCACGTTCCCAAAAAAAATTAAGATTATCCAGATTAAAATTAATAATTTTTATCATCTATCATTTATTTTTCTCTAGTTATTGTAACTCTTAACGTTTCTAGGAAACATAAAAGATATATATGTATATTAGCAAGTTATTATGTATAAAATGACACTGGTAGAGCCATATATATAATGAGAAATAACTGTGGTAGAGACACGCAACAGTGTTCACTGTTGTTTGAATGGGCAGGTTCGTCCAGGTAAGTGCTTTAACCTTACAGAAGAACGGCGTAAAATAGAAGTGTTACACTTTTGCATCTCGTCTGGTGAGTGAGGTAGCCACCGCCCACTTTATTTATAGGTGGGAACACGTTTGCAACCCTACGAATTATGTTTATTACATTTATTTATTTTTGTATTGTATAAAAATGACTTACTTTTTGGAACATGTTTCTTGAGATATACAAACGAGTTAACTGATGAATTTTAAACACAACGTAAAGCTTTTATACCGAACGAGCTTTGCCTGAATCAAGGTCGTCGGGCGAAAAGTTGTTTAGAGAGATTTATTAATTTATGCGAGTATTGTTATGATAATTCGTAAAAGATTTTTATACTCTAAGTGAAAGCGAAATGTTCTGTTGAATATAAGACGAAACTGGAATACCCATCGGGGCATTCTATTCAAATTCAAGTCTCTTCATATAAAACAAAAATTGTACATCTTAATGGAAATAGTTATTCTTACAAGGTTTTCGAGGTTAAAGTGTACCTTCAATTTCCTTCTCGTTAATAATTTCACTGTTGTTTTTTTATTTTAAGTTTAACGTCAATGTCGAAAATAAGATGTGAAACCAATTTTTATACTTTTGTAAATATAAATAAATATAATATTTACACGAGTATGTACATTAAACAAAACTTTTCTTTGGACTACCTTTTCTGTACTTTTCAACATCCATAGACATGTGTAATAGACTGCTTTTAAATTACGTTTTAAAATTAATTATTTTCATTGACAAAATCAATAATTCTTAATGAAGTGTATAGTAACTAGAATACACACATTAATAGTGAATGAAATAAATAAACCAATGATGAGTAAGATTCAATTTCAAATAAAATGTTCAAGACTTGTGTTGAACATTGTTTCACTTAGAGAAGTCTAGAATGATTTTCAATTCGGTTGAATTTTTAAGAAAGTCCTCTAATATATTTAGAAATCAAAAATATTTAGAAAAAAAATCTATATTACACAAGTACTAGTAGCGTCACCTAAGTATCCGGGCTGTTACCCTCAATTTCACAATAATCGATCAACCGGAGTTCTCAACGAGTATCTGATGACCGAAATCAACATGTATGAGAACATTTCGAAGGGATACCAAATCTGGTAAATTGCAGTGGACAACGTAGTAAAATAATCTTGCTACAATTTGGATAGAGTAGTTTGGTTTATTAATGAAAGGAACATTAGGTAAATTTATAACTTTATAAGTATGCATAATTATGATTCTAATAATGGTGCTTGGTCAAAAACAAAATCCCAATGATATTTTGACGGTTGTGTTAAGTTTATCTTTATTTTCCATTTAGTAACTAATCAAATCCATTTATTAACAAACAAACCTTTAAGAGCTTAATAGTTCAGTTGCTTAATATAATCAGTTCATTGGATTTTGAAGTCAGGATGTTATCGCTTCGTTTTCTAAAGTTATTGTGTTGAATGCGGTCTATTGGAATTATCTGAATATCTGATGGTAACATTGGGTAAAAGAAGCATGTTACTAGATATATCCTTATTTGATTTTTGTAATGATCAGATAAAATTATACGTTTACAGACAGTAATTTCCAAAACCGGGCACTAATATATGTATGTCAAAACGTGGTCTCATGTTGCCTATCTATCGTTGATTTTCGTAATTTGATAATCAATACAAATTTTTGTTTATTTCTTTTTCTTTTCGTAATTTCCGATGGAAACGGGAACGGTGAGGATGTTGGGTGAAGTTTACAATGGGTTGATAATGAATTTGAGTGCGAGTGAAGGCTGTATCAGCCCACCGCTAATTAAAGAACAGTGATATGTTTGACACTTCAGTGGACACGCCTTACGACAGGCGTCTCTGGGACTATTGTCTATATAGTCGTTTTGATATGTGTTCACATGGTGGCGAATGAATCCACGACGGAATACCACCACTATGTCATGAGAACGGGACGCCTAGAAGGCCACAGTCACGGAAAAATCGGGGATGACAGGGTTTTCGTGTTACCGTGTACCTCCCGATGCGGCGATGGTGATGCAGCGTGTTATTGCTTGATTTACGGGTTTCGTTCAGCCTGGGACTTCCAAAAAAATCCCTAGACTTTTTTTTAATGTTTATTTTTAATATTTATTACGTATACCGATTGCTTAAATTCATGCTTAAATTATACCAATGTCAGGTAACTCGAATCGTATTGTGAATTTAATAATGAGCGAGGACATGTGTGGTGCGGGGGCAACATGGTGCACAGGGGAAGTTGCTCACAACGGCGTTGAAGTTTTTGATCATGTATGTTCAAATATATCGTATGATTCAATGCGCCAATTTATTTTAAACAAACGCCTGAATCTTTGAACGTTGGTGTGCCTTAGAGAAAATTAAGAGAGATTGGGAAAAAATACATAGGCACTGTTTACTAAGGAGAGAAAAATGGAAAGCTAAAGTATCAAGTTGATGCCTGAATATTACAAGAATGCTTCTGCCAAGGTTGGATTGGAATTGTATACTTATAAATGATGTTATAATATAATTATATTGGTGAAAAAATGTAAATTGACGTCAAAAGCGGTGGATGACTGAATATTATTATTTGGGGTTTAGTTTAATGATGCTATTGGTTTAAATCACAAGCGAATTAATTGTTTACTCATTTTCTTGTTTACTCAAACTGGAGATCATTTTACGTTAAATATATACTAATAAATAGCTCTTTCTCTCAATTTATGAACAATTGGCATAATAGTTTTTAATTTCTAAAATAAAAATCTGAAGAATTTACAAGAATGTGCAATAAGGGAATTCCATTTTTTTATGGAAAAAATGGGCAAACAAGGCAGGAGGCTAACCTGATAGTATGTGATTACCGCCGCCCATGAACAGATTTAACACTGGAAGGTTTTATTATATAGGCAGATGCGTTGCCAAGCATTAAACAGGCCCCGGTCACCTCACTCACCAGATGAAATGTGAATGCATAATACTTTCATTTCAGGCTGTAGTACAGCGGGAGCCGCTGCGCCTTTTATTTAATATTTATGACATTCAAGGCATATAAGGCATATATGACAAAAATGTTAGGATATGTTATTTTTGTGTGAATATATTTAAAATATGCCTTAGAAATGGGGTACATTACTATTTGTTACTCAAACGGTCACAGTCGGAGAGAAGTGTAACTAAATGGAAAGAAAATGTTATTGGATATGCGAAATGAGAGAGCATTTTATGGAAAATAAACAGTCTGTTGTTTTTTTATTCACTTCAATTTTCATTACGTGGCTGAGATTATCAATGGGAATCCCTAAATTAAAGCTATGGTTCTGAGTATTTTTTAAACGGTTTTATTTAGCTCGACCCGTACGGAATTTGTTTGTTTGGGTCAAAATTAGAAATTGAAATTTAAGCACCTTGCCGTTGTCAGATTGATCTGAAATTTGGTACACACATTTAATTTAGATGACAATACAATATTAACAAAAAAAAATTAACAAAAAAAAAACATAAAATAAAACCGTTTACCTTAAAAGTTTTTAAACGGTTTTATTATTGTTAATCCAAGCTCAAACTTTCGCAGCTACCGTTACAAAAGTAGTGGCGTACGGAAAGCTGAAACTGCGGCGATGAGCCAATGAACTTAAAAGGTGAGGAAACATACACTTAAAAATGTGTATCGTTCCTTTTTACCATGATATACGCTCAAAACATATTCGACGCTTTTAAAATTTCAAGATGTTTTTATCTTGAAATTATTATTTATTATATAAGCATATATCTTATTCTTTATTTTTATTGATTATTATATCTATCACTATATAGTTGTAATAACAATAAACTCACAAAAGGTAAAAATAAATTGGTTCATGAAAAAAAGGAGGTGTATGAATTTGAATGTTTTATTTATCCTAAGCTTTCAGTATAAATATCTAAATTTAAAAGACGGCAAGAAATGCAATTTTCAATGATGAGCAAGAATGTGCGCGGGAGCTGATGCAACGTGGCGGGCGGGAGCTGAGTTGCTGACAACCGCGTTGAAACCGTTGTGGTCGTCGGCGGAGTATTGCACTGTGCGCACTGAACCGTCGGCTTCCAAAAGTGAGTATTCACCGTGCACAGCGTCTCCGTCGCGGCTCTCGCGCTGAGACTTGTTGTCGCCGGTGTGTCCGTCAGCAACGGAGTAGGCAAAATCGTATCTGGGGTGGGCCTGAAATGAACGTGGTTTGTAAAAATTCAACATTTTTTTTTATATAACATTGTTTTGTGTAGGAAGTGCATAAGTACATAAACCTCTATACTTTGACTAAAATAGTGATGAAGAAGTTGTGTTTTATTATTAACTAGCGACCTGCCCCGTATTTGAACAGGTGCAATATATTATACATATAAACCTTCCTCTTGAATCTCTCTATTTAGTAAAAAAAACCGCATCAAGATCCATGGGGTAGTTTTAAAGGTCTAAGCATACAATAGGGACAGACAAACAGCGGGAAGACTTTTTTTATACTATGTTGTGATAAGTTATTTTTAAAAGGATTTGTCTTTATTATCGATTACAACAATTCCAAGAGTATATGTGTTGCAGTTATACAAAATTGACTGCTTGTGACAAAATTTATAGAGTCATAATCTATGAAATTTCTTTGTCGTCAAGATGGATAGCTAATAAATTTTTCTTACGTATTCCTCATGTTGGGCGGTGGCAATAAGCCTGGTCGCAGGTGCGGCGTGGCTGATGATTGGTGCAGCGTGGCTGATGATTGGTGTGGCGTGGCTGATGACTGGGGCGGCGTAGTGGGCTGGGGCAGCGTAAGCTACTGGAGTAATGCCATATGCGGCACGGGGCTGGTCATGGCGCACGATGTTTTGGGAAGAGACGGCGTGGCCGGTAGCGATACGGGCGGGAGCGGCGTAAGTGGCAACAGGAGCGGCTTGGTAGGCGAGGGGAGCAGCATGAACGGCTACAGGTGCAGCATGTATGGCCACAGGTGCGGCGTGAATAGCCTGGGGCTGGTCGTGACGCACGATGCTTTGGGAGGAGACGGCTGCGGCCGACGAGTAGTGAGGCTGGGGCAGGAGACCTGCCGCAGACACTGCCAACACGGCGCTCAAAGCCAAGATCTGAAACAAGCGTGAAGTGATATTAAATCATGTAATTTTTATATTCGTTTTTATGGAATGACAAGTGGTATATATATACATAACTACATTATTAGACTTTATAGACCACCAAGTTTAGATCTTGATTAATAATAATATAAAACAAAAAACTTACTTTTGAGAACATTTTTGCACAAGACTAAAAGTCAACTGATACAGGTCGCAGTGATCCGAGAGCTTTTATAGCGGCAGAATTTTGGTGGATACAAGGTCGTTGGGTCAAAAAGTAGCCTAACAACGACAATATTATAGTGAAAGTGGTACTAATTAAATGAGTTACATATTGCAATACATTGGTATTCCGATAGTAAATAAAAGTTTAAGTTATTTTAAACTCCTTAATTAATTAAAAATATAATAATAAATATTTTATTCCATGATAGTGCATCACTCAGTTTATATAGAAAGCCGTAAAAATATTTTAATTTCAATGTACCAATTATTTTAATGACGGTTAAATTTTTTTTTCTTTTTTTTTTTTAAAACATTAAATTCACATACTCCTGTTGCCAAGTTTTTACACTGTTATTTCAAATTACTGAAAACTTTTTAGTTCACATTGTTTATACGAGTATACCCAGTATTTACTTCTTCTATTAATAAATTTTTAGAGAAAATAATGACTTGACACAAAATGACCCGGAATCCAAGACAGCCGAAGGTCAGTTATTTTGGGTTCTGGGTCATTTTACAACGCTTGACTTTAATTTATAAAATCGAAGTCCATTTGTCTTTGATTTTATTTCGATTTTATAACTGTTTCGCCAATCCACATTCCGCGTCGCGTTGTGGAGTTACACATAGAAAGGCAGAGCTTTTAATATCAAAGTCATGATTATGTGTTTCCTGCGGTATAGCACGAATTAATAACAACAATAGCGATATACGGGCATAATTGCAACAAATTATAAACATAACTTGTAATTGCATATTAAAACAACTCCTAACTAATAATCTAAACATCCAACTGTGCTAATATCTTGGTACACAATTAATGAGATTGTAGAAATAAGTAAAGTCCGTGAATTTTTGAGGTTAATCTCTGGATCAGCTGAACCGATTTTGGAAATTCTACTTTTTAGAAAGACACATTTGTGAGTGTCATGGGATATACTTTTTCGTAATCGAACGCAAACGTATCATATGAACGCTGCCTTGACGATGAGAGACATGATTGAGTTCTAAAGAAAAGAGTTGTAGAGCATGATAATATAAGCCTACAAAAAATTACGAATTTTATATTTAAGTCACAATAAGTTATTTTTTTATTTTAAAAAAATAAATGTAATGCCGAGGGTTCCGTACCCATTATGCCGTCAAAATAAAATAATGAAAATAATCACCACCGATTTTATCAGCAACGGGTGGACCTTGCAAGTTAAAATTTATACCAGATACAGAGGTTCCATAGGTCTATATATATATATATATATATATATCATAGGTCTTACAGCACAAATAAAGGTAAATTTTGGTACTTACAAGTTTTCGAGAAAATCTAAATTTGCCCATATCTTATTATCATGTTGATCCTGGACCTTGATTTTACATTTGACACCTAATAGGGACTGTAGACCTCAGTATCTGGTATAAATTTCAACTTGGTCCACGCGTTTCTGAGAAAATCGATGGTGACACACAGACAGATGGACAAGAGAGTGATCTTAAAAGGGTTCCTTTTTTATATTTTAAGGTACGGAACCCTAAAAAGTAAATTTGACAAAAAATTGACTCAACCGATTAAAACAAAAGACTTATTTTACTTCATATAATTTGGATGATTAGTAAAGAAGTTAATACGACATAGGTATATAAACGTGACAATTTAATCTATTGAGTGATATTCCTATCATATTTAGACGTTGGCAAAATTGAAATTTTCTCAACGTCTAAATGAGACGAGAAAGCAGTGCAGAGTTTTTTCCATGGGCAGTTAAATGTTGGCTTATGTGTTCAGATTGGAACTCCTGAAAGACAATTTATTTTGGTAACAAATAATAAAATTGCAACTATATAGTATACAAAGAAGTTTTAAACAACTGAAATAAACATAATTTATTGAATCATAATTATTTCATTCACTCATTTGAAATCAGGTAATATAGCCAAATTGGCATTTTATTCATATGAAAAGATGCAAAGGAGCCGACGATTCACCTGATGTTAAATGATAACCGTCACCCATTGTCATTTGCAACACCCGAATCGTTGCAGATGAGCTGCCACACACCACACTCATCAGACGAAACGTAGAAGTGTAACAGTTCTAATTCATGCCGGTTTTCTATGAGGTCGTGTTACTTACCCGGATGGAACTGCCAATTTGTGCAACAGTGAGGACTATTGCATGGCCTTACCGCTAGACCTATATATATTTAACTAGCAGAACTGGAAGGCGTGGTTTTACCTTTCATGGTTAATGATTCTGTACCCTATTGTATCTATGTGCAATCTTCGCAATAATTTATGTGAATTCGATACTACCAGACTAAATGGTTAACAAAATACACGGTCAATAACAGACCCACCAACAATACTATGTTGATATTTAAATTTTTGGTGTTTATTTTTAATCAATAGATTTTATGATCAATTTTACTTTATTATGTCTCGTAGTGATTACATTCTGTGAAGTATGTGCACTAAATGTCGCGAAGCATTCAGATTTTGAGGCCTGAAGATTATCGGTTGCTTAAATAAAATAGTAAGTCATGGTTTTCTCCCCTCCAACCGGGTTCCAGCCTTGTCGTGGCGAGGGGCTTAGTAGTCGTGGCTTGGTCATCCACGGTGAACTCAAGAGGCACCTACGCCCAAGAAACCCGACCTAAGTGGGCTCATTAAGCCTACTCTGGATTCTAGCGAGGAAGGTGCAGATAAGTGGTTAAGGGTAGTAGAGGTGCAGCCAATCGCCCTGTCCTCTGCAACCAGCAAGGCGGAGTTACGGAGGAAGAGGAGTTGTGGTATTACGTTTGGCTACTCTCCCTATCCGCCGCGACTCAGCGAAGCTGCACAGTTGATGCAGGTCTGCGGTCGAAGTGGTGAGTGGTGGAGACTCAGACCGGGTCCACCGTACGAGGGCTGGGAAGCTTACTGCTTAATGGCATTGGCTATCCGCCAGCCTACATTTTTATACAATAACAAGAAATAAAAGTGTGTGTGTACTTATGTACACGCGTTAGAAGTTATAGTTCTTTGGCGTAACAAGATAAAAATCTTTTCAAAAATTTTATCTTTCGCGTTATTTTAGTCGTTTTTTCTACGTTTGTAGAAAAAAAGACACTAACAATAGAAAAAAGGCATTTAATACATTGAAAGTTTTGTTATAACGCATTATCTAGTTAAATAAGATTTATTTAAATATCACAAAATAAATATCGTGAATACAGTTGTCAGTTCTCACGCAAACATACGTAGATGTCTATCTAACTTCAGGGTGTCGGTTTATAGTGACGGTGTGCGCGCGCATCGTAAAAATTTACTCTCATCATTTTTCCCTAACGAAAAAATCCCTATCAAAAATTTAGGCTTAGGTTTCAACTCCTTGTAAACTGCAGTAAAAAGTAATGAAGACATTTGTAAGGTAAAAATAATGGCCTTAACAATCACTCAAGGCAAATATATTATAGTTAGTCAAATACTCGCCCGGCTGGTTACGGAAGACCACTGTTAGTGGTATATACGATGCTCTAATCCTTTAATAGAGAAAGCTAGATGACTTCACAATATGCATTAGTTAGCTGCACAATGTATGTATGTATATACTCGTATTTGTGGTTCTCGGGGGATTTAGGGTGTGAAAAGTTCCTTTGTTTCTACATTAATATGAAACAGTTACGTGTCTTAAATACATTTGTGAAAACTAGAGCTATATGTAACTAAATAATAATAAAACCTAAATAATAATAAATATAACTAAACCTTACTACCTTTGCTTTGAAACAATTATTTACGAATAAACATATTTTTGTACGGTGTGAGGATGAAATTCACAATACCGCGAATGGTGGTCGGCTAGTTGATGGTTCGACTAATGAACAGTTGTGCAATCTGGATCACTTTTGTTAGTCCTTATTATTGTTCATTAGCCGTAGGAGTATAGTACTGGTGATGTTAGTTATTATATTATACTCAGGTAACTTCCGGAAATAGTCAGCGTGAAAATAAATAAAAATATACAATAGGTTTCATATTATCCTTATTTAATTTAAAGTATTAAATAATTTAAATAAAAAAGCGGCGCGGGACGTTTATAAACATTGCTTAAATTAGTGATGGGCGAGGAGGCGCGCGGGCGCGGGGGCAACGTGAGTCGGGGCTGAGTTGCTCACGACGGCGTTGAAGCCGTTGTGGTCGTCAGCAGAGTATTGCACTGTGCGCACTGAACCATCGGCCTCCAGCAGCGAGTATTCGCCGTGGACGACGTCACCGTCGCGGCTTTCATGCTGGGACTTGTTGTCGCCGGTGTGTCCATCGGCCACGGAGTAGGCGAAGTCATATCTTGGGTGGGCCTTAGAAACAATCACTGATTATTATCGTTGTCGAAAAAATTTCAGCGTTTTCGTAATGAAGTAAACATAACTAATGTATGTATGTTATCGTGTAGTTAAAGGGAATGGAGATTTTTTTTGTATATAATGCTACTTTATTGTGTCCGCTATTATAGTGCAATATACGCTATGATAATGACAATATCACCATCGTCCTTCTTATCCCACCTAGGTGAGGTCGGTTCATGTAAATCACGTCGTAAGTCGTAGGCTAGGTTTTTTACGACCGGCTGCCTGATTGGCGTAAGCCCCCCTTAGAAAGTAACACCCAAATCTGGAAGAATTATCTGTGGGTCACACAAATACTTGTGCCGTGTGGAAGTCGAGCCAATCACCACGACGCATAACCCAATATTAGCAACTGCTGCGCCGAATCATCAATCCTTGACATTATAATGAACCTAAGTAGATATTAGAAAGTGGCATGAAACCATTATAACTAACTTACATATTCCTCGCTTTGAGCGGTGGCAATAATCCTGGCAGCAGGTGCGGCATGGCTGATGATTGGTGCGGCATGGCTGATGATTGGTGCAGCGTGGCTGATGATTGGTGCGGCGTGGCTGATGGCTGGTGCGGCGTATGCTACTGGAGCAATACCGTAAGCGGCACGGGGCTGGTCATGACGCACAATGTTTTGGGAAGAGACCGCGTGGCCGGTGGCAATACGAGCGGGGGCGGCGTAAGTGGCAATAGGGGCAGCTTGGTAGGCGAGGGGAGCAGCATGAATGGCCACTGGAGCGGCGTGGATAGCCTGGGGCTGGTCGTGTCGCACGATGCTCTGCGAGGAAACGGCTGCGGCCGATGAGTAGTGAGGCTGGGGCAAGAGACCTGCCGCAGACACTGCCATAACGGCGCTCAAAGCAAGGATCTGAAATATGCACGTAGCCTGGTATTAATACATGTAGTTAACTATGACGATTTGATGTATTTATTTAAATATGTAATGACTTTTCTGAAAATTATTCTCCTCCAAAGAAACTTACTTTTGAGAACATTTTTGTACGAGGGTAGTGATCTACTGATACATTTCGTATTTGTCCCAAAGCTTTTATAGTAGTACAGTTTTAACGATCTCAAGGTTGACAGGTCAAAAAGCAGTTTAACATGATTTATTTCGACAATGGTGAAAGTCGTAGGTTACTATCACATATAAAGATTTAAAAATGTAATTTTTATTTATGTGTTAATTATAAACGTTACTTCCTAAAATAATCAAGAACTAAATAAAAAATATTATAATATAAGCTGTTGAATTGATGGATTTCGAATGTCGCCCATAGTAATAAAATTATTGTTAGCTTTGAATTATTGTCAGATATTATTTTCTGTTACTGATTTAAGGTTATATAACTACTAGCGACCCGCTCCGGCTTCGCACGGGTGCAATGTATTATACATGTAAACCTTTCTCTTGAATCATTCTATTTAGTAAAAAAAAAACTCGGTTGCATAGTTTTAAATATCTAAGCGTACATAGGGACAGACAGCGAGACGACTTTGTTTTATACTATGTAGTGGTGCACAGTAAAGACGTTTACTTTTAAAGTGACATTTTACCACAGTCACTCACTTGTTTTTCCTTCCCGGAACCCCTCCACTAACACCTAAACTTTATGGTATGGTATTTAAGTTCAAATTGACTTTTAAGTATTGAATATTACGAATCTTTTGTACGGGAATATAGAAAAGTGTTATTTTTAGACTTTTTCAGGTATTTTTTAAAATTTTTCTCTCCGTAAGAATCTTCTTCCTACTTCAAGGAATATTATATAAAAAGAATTAGAGAATTCGGTCCAGCGTGCACCATGATGGCGTGACCAAGGGAAATAGGGATTCATTTTTATATATATATATATATAGATTAATACAGTTAAAGGTTAACGTCATGACTCTGTAGTAGTGATAGTATTGTATGTAGTGATAGTATTGTATGTAGTAAGTATATTGTATCAAACATACATACAAGGCTTTCAATTTGCATAAGAAAATTATGTGATAGTTATATCAGCGGAAGAGCAATAGCAGATATCATAACAATTGCCTGAGTAAGCAAGTTTAACTGGAGAAATACAAAGACCTCACAAATAGTAACGGGCGTAAAGTTAAGGTATATATATATTTTGCTTTAAGTCCATCAGTGGGCAGGCAACAGGCCTGTTTTTGTCCATGGACAGCGGTCCTCACTTATCATCAGTTCAACCTTTTCGCCTATCACATTATAACCCGCCAAGTTTTAAGTGGCTATACCTTCAAAGAAAATGTTTAATTATGAAAATGGGCAGATGATATTTACTTAAATTATCTTTATATATTCCATTAGTATTTTTTAATCGACATTGTACGTTATTGCAGGATTAACTTGTGTTAATAGTTTCAATGTTTTTTTATTTGGGGCTGAAGCTTTACAGATTAAATCTCATTTATCCAACATGTTTCAAGCTTTTGTTCAACCAAAAAAATGTTTACAACCTACTTAAAATGGTTTAATTAATTTTGACGTATTTTAAAAAGTATAATTTTTTTCACTGAAATCTAGTACATCATAAATTCGACACAGAAGCTAACATAATATATATTTGAATCTAGAAACTGTTATTAACGTAGCTTGTTACATTTCTTAGACTTTTATAAAGTTAAAATAATATTTCAAAAAATGCATTTTACGCATTTTGATCCCGATCAATTAAATTCAAGCATGATATTTAATTAAATATTTTAACTTCTTTTTGCATACATTGCAGTAGAACAAATAATCAAGCCAAAGCAAGAGGTTTTACGGGCTTACTATGACATTTGTTAGTTAAGTACCTTAGGCTGACCTTACGACGTTTCCTGTACTCATTCGTAACGAACATCTAAATCAAACTAAATCAAAAAAACAAAATATAAACTACAACAAATAGTGAATTTTTGTTTGTTTCTTTTTTAACAATAAGTAATTATTTCTAAAAAATCTAAGCACGCGATGAAACAGCCGCCCGGTTTTTACAGCTGATTAGTTAACTTCGACGATGATCAGTGTTTCAGAAACCGGGCGTTATGTTCGGCCCTAACGCACTGCAGAGGATCGAATCAAACTTGCGGGTTTTGGCAATCCCACGAGTTCTGGGTTCGATGAAGCTTTAATATTCTACTGACTGAAAGCTAAAACACAATTAAAACTAAATTAAAAGAATTTAATTGAAAATTCATTCACGTAGAACAACAGTTTTTTGTTGAAAAATCGACATCTTTAACATTTTTAAATATCCGTATCTCCCTTTTTATTTATAATAAAACTTTGGATAGTAGTATCTCCCTTAAAAACAACCGAGTACCTACTATCTTAAAAAAAGGTCTTTTCCCTCAAAATCTAGAAGTGCCTTATCAAAATCTAGAAGTGACATAATTTATTACTGATCGCCATGATTTATAATTTATCATGTAAAATTGATCACATATACTATTATCAAATATCGTTAAATAATAACACCCTCCATAAATAAAATATATTGCAGAAAAGATCATTTTGTTCTGAAAGTGGGAGATGCCCTGAAACGGTTTACTGGAGACTAGCTATCAAATTTTAAGGCTATCATAAACAATTCTTGAAGCTTGTGAATAATGTTTAAGAGATGGTCCTTCATTAATGCCTTTTCAATAAAATGGTGTTTTGCAAACTGTTACCGAATAACTTCACCGCTTATCAAACGGACCGGTTTCAAATAATATTTCAATGCAATTATAGAGGATATGAGATCGAGCTAAAAATACCTTGTTTTGATCTAATTTGTTTTATCGTTATACATTTATGTATACACAAATAAGATGGAGAGTACGTTATTTGAAAAACTCTATCTAAATATAAATAAGAGACAGGTGACTTGACTGACAATATCTGTACATCGAAAATATGTAACTGATAAGAGCGTCAAAGGCCTTTACTTTTCATATAATTTCAATTGTTTACTACCCCATTCAAAATCACTAGTAAAAGGATTAAATATTCTGAGTAAATAAAGATATTCAGTATTCATATTAATTTAATGAAAGTTTTCATTAATAAATAAAATAATTAACACATGACGAGAAGACTAGAATATCAGTTAAACAGTTAATGATGAGCGAGGATGACAGGGGCAGGGGCAACATGGCGCGCGGGGGCTGAGTTGCTGACTACTGCGTTGAAGCCGTTGTGGTCATCTGCGGTGTATTGTACTCTGCGCACCGAACCATCAGCCTCCTGGAGTGAGTACTCGCCGTGGACGGCGTCACCGTCGCGGCTTTCTTGTTGGGACTTGTTGTCACCAGTATGTCCGTCAGCGACAGAGTAAGAGAAATCGTATCGTGGGTAAGCCTGATATAAAATTAAGCGATATTAAAATTAAGATCCATCTTCAACTGTAATTATTTATATTTTTGTGATAATGATATTGTTGTCATATTAGCTTACATATTCCTCATGTTGAGCGGTAGCAATGAGTCTCGTCGCAGGAGCGGCGTGGCTGATGATAGGCGCGGCGTAACGCGCCGGGGCAGCTGCGTATGCTAACGGAGCAATGCCGTAAGCGGCACGGGGCTGGTCATGACGCACGATGTTTTGTGAGGACACGGCGTGGCCGGTGGCGATGCGAGCGGGAACGGCGTATGCGGCAACAGGAGCCGCGTAGGCGAGAGGAGCAGCGTGGATTGCTAAGGGAGCCGCACGAATCGCCTGGGGCTGGTCATGACGCACGATGCTTTGGGAGGAGACAGCTGCTGCCGATGAGTAGTGAGGCTGGGGCAATAGTCCTGCCGCACTAACCGCCAATACAGCGCTCAGAGCGAGGATCTGTAAAAACAACTGTTGTTATTTATGAAAAGATCATAGGACATTTAAAATAAAGAAAGTTATTACATCATAAGTCGTAGAATGTGTTTAATCGATATTTATTGATAATGATATAATAATACGAAACTTACTTTAGAGAACATTTTTGTTTAAGTTTAATGATCGACTGATAAGTCCTACCTGTGTCTCGAAGCTTTTATAGTGACTCAGATTTGCGGCCTGAAGGTCGACATGTCATAAAGTAGTGCGTACAACATATTGTAAGCTACCATGAAAGTATTATTATTGGTATCACACATTACTTTACTTGTTAAGACATAAATTATATTTTTTGTATGTCCAAATATGTGTGCAAGAAAATTTCAGTGTCGAAGATATTTAATTATTTCTGTAATTGCACAATATGGTACACCAAATTTTGCCAACAATATTCATGGTACTCGTAGATGATGAAGACCAACTTGGATCTTTGCTTACCGCTTTTAATGACCGCTGCGTATCTTCTAATAAAATGATATGTTTTTGGAAAAGGAAGCAAACGATCAAGCGGTTCATCTGATGGTGTATTATCTGGTTGTATGGTGATATAGTTTGGGTAATATTCGTCTAAGTACGCCCTGTAAAGCAGTTGTCGTTCTCTATCTTTATACTCCTGTAGATTGCACTTAAAGTATTCGTGATTTTTATTGGTGAATGCAATAAGTATTTCTGATTGGCTAGTTGATTATCAAGCTGCAAGTACCCGATATTATCGTCATCCTACTCCATCATAAATTCCTGTCGCATGTGCACTCTTAAGACAGAAGGCCCGCATCGGGTGCAAAATGTGTACTAGTCTTTCTAACCGGCATTATTGCTTAGTTTCTTATATCAACTGCACAATATCTTTGCTTATTTACTTCCCCGCAGTGCGACAAGGATATTTGCAGTATATTTGGTTTTGTTTTTACCCCCATCGCAAATCATATAGTCCACTTCCAATCCGTGGATACTATCATCTTCGGGGTAGTGGACATGGTAGCTTCCTCACCAAAAAAAATTTGTGTAAAGTGCAATCATGATTACAAATTTATTTAAACATTGCGCAATCAGTTCATCTGAATATTATTTTGTCACTATCAAAGCTCGCATCCATGTTAGGCTGAACCAAGCGAGTATGATATGATATTAGCTGGATATTAAGTAAAAAAGTTGATTCTATCCGTTATGGCCCTAAGACGACACTGATCTGTTCCATGAACTGAGAGTCGCAGCGAGGGATGTTGCAATGCTAGACATTTTTGTATGGGAAAAAATAAATTTGACGGTGAAGTCGACATAGGGGCTCACGACGGTCGAGTACCTTCATTAAGCGGGTCAAAGCGAATGCGGAGGAAGGTATATAGTTTAAGGCATTGTTGAAGTACTTACTGTTCCTGCAATTAATGTATACAGAATGATGATGATGAAGGTTATTAAGTTCTGACTTTTAAAAGCTCTCTACGTTTTTACAACTTTAAGTTAAAAAAATCTTCTATTGCTTTATAAAGGCTGCCTATGACGGAGTTTTGTAAACTATGTAACTTCAAGTAAGCCTTAGAAACGTAGCAGTGTTAATGCTGACCGATTTTGCAAGCTATTGAGATTTATATTGAAACCCCGGACCATTTTAAATTATAAATATATGTACTGTTTAACAGATATTGGGCTTAAATAATAAAAAAGAAAAAGTTTTAGAATCTAATTCCGTGAGGGTGTTTATTATTATTATTATTAGATCGCTATGATCAGATGAAATTTGTTCTACTTAACGCCTTTTCGTGATAAAATTTTATATAATAATATTAAAAGCGTCTGCCGAATTTGTAGTAAATTTATTCCTTGCTAAATCCTCAATTTGTTTTATCATTTCTGTAAGTTGTTTAGATCATCTATGATCGAACTTTTTAATATTGCTTTCTTTACTCGAAATGACGCAGTGGCGCACTTGATAAGCTATTGGCCTCGGTGTTGAGGGTCGTGGGTTCCATTGCCAAATTCAAAATTTCTTTATTCAAATAGACCCTTGCGCGTCTTATGAAACGTAAAATTTTACATAAATAATTAATGTATAAGTTCGTAAGTAAGTTACCACCAATTCGCACGCTAGTTTCTGTTGGGAAGAGACCGGCAAGAAATGCAACAGTTGCTCTTTGTTTACCAGATTACAATAAATCATATACTAGCTGCTGCCCGCAACTACGTCTGCGTAGATTAGGCTAAAGGTGTAACATTAAGACAGTAAGACAGATATACATAAAATATGTAAATAAATTATAGCCTATGTTTTATTCTGATGTTATAATACGCTATATTATTGTAAAGTTTCATTAAAATCCATTCAGTAGTATTTTCGTGAAAGAGTAACAAACATCCATCCATACATACAAACTTTCGTCTTTATAGTATTAGTAAGGATATAATAATAATTTTCTTATTTTAGGCTACGTGAGTATCAACAGTATTAACTCCACACATTGGCGTCGTCGAGATATTCCACAATGTTATAATATGCTTCAGCCATAAGTTTACTTATAATTCTACGTTTACAATCGATATTAAGTCAAGTAGCAGACTTAATATCGACTGTGGGGTTTTATTACAAATGCCATACATACTTTGCCCCATGAACGACCTATTTAATTTTTTTAGTCAAAGCAGTGGTGTTAATTAGTTTGTCCTTATTTCTAGTATTTAGTATATTTCTGTCACTGTTCTTTGGATAATTATTGAGATTATGTTTAACATACAAATTATTACAATAAATATATTGAGACTGCAAGGAGAGTATATTAATTTCTTTAAAAAGTTCTCTGAGTGTATTCCGGGCTCCAATGTTATAGATTGCTCGGGCAGGTCTTTTTTGAAGAATAAAATATAGAATTTATGTCATATGAAAAACAAGACGACGAGATTCTGAGAAAATAACTGAAGTAAACAATGACAGTGTGGACGTCTGTTAGCTGTCGAACCTTTCTAATAGCAAAAAAAGCGAAGCCTATTCGCAAGAAATGATATATGGGGTTCCACTGGATCTCTGAATCTACTGAAATTCCCAAGAATACAGCAGAATGAACAGGGTTAAGGGTTACGCTATTTAACATTAAACTAAAATTTTGCCTTCTTACACTGGAAAGAGTAAAAAGTCTCTAATTTTTTAAACGGTTTTATTTAGCTCGACTCGTACGGAATTTGTTTATTTATTTGGGTCAAAATTAGAAATTGAAATTTAAGTACCTTCCCGTTGTCAGATTGATCTGAAATTTGGTACACACATTAAATTTAGATGACAATACAATATTTTAGTTTTCAGTGCACATAAAATAAAACCGTTTAACTTAAAAGTTGTTAAACGGTTTTATTGGCATTTAACACTATATTATTAATGGTAAACCAGTGGATATGCGAAAATGCACCATTCACGTCGTTATAATTTTCATGTTAGTAATTTCAATAATTCAGTAACCCATAAAAATCTTTACTTAAAGGATAGAATATTCTGAGTAAATAAAGATATTGAGTCTGTTAACTGACATGCATTGTGCACAATAAACGATTGGTTGCTCGGCTATAATAACATTTCTACACCATTTTGAGGTTATCCGCTATTTTTGGTTATTATTTATTCTAAATTAGTGGTTTAGCAATTATTCTCGTATAACTCAGTTGTTCTGAGGATAGGTAATTGTTAAAATGATAATATGGTTATCTGAGAGTACCAAAGCTCTATTCTTGGGTATAATTTGTTCAACTTTGTTGATCGCGGGCCAAAGTCAATATTATTTGTATATTTTAGTTTTCAACACAGAACACTTGTTCATCTTGTTCATCTTTATATCAACAATACATTTTAAATTTTGAATCGGAAGCATTAACTATAAGTTGTGAAACTTTGAGCAAACTTTAGAAGCGAGCAGCAGATTTTTACTCACTGTCTTTGTAAGCTATTGGGAATTCGAGCAATTATGACTGATTTAATGGGTGTACATACAAGTTTAGCCCCGTTGCAGCCCGAAATCACTTTTGGTTATTAATAATAATTTTGTTTGAAGCTATTTTGTTGACTCACGTAAAGGAGTGCTTAGTATTCAATGTACAATATTAATTAAAATCATTAATGATCTTATGGTAAACAATCTGTAGATGTAAATAAAAATATTTAGTTTTTATATAATTTAATCAAAATTTTTCGTTATTAAGTTAAATAATTTACACATGACGAGGGGCCTAGAATATCAGTGAAACAGTTAATGATGAGCGAGGATGACAGGGGCAGGGGCAACATGGCGCGCGGGGGCTGAGTTGCTGACTACTGCGTTGAAGCCATTGTGGTCATCAGCAGTGTATTGTACTCTGCGCACCGAACCATCAGCCTCCAGGAGTGAGTACTCGCCGTGGACGGCGTCACCGTCGCGGCTTTCCTGCTGGGACTTGTTGTCACCAGTATGTCCGTCAGCGATAGAGTAAGAGAAATCGTATCGTGGGTAAGCCTGAAATAAAATTAACCGATATTAAATTAAGATTCATCTTCAACTGTAATTATTTCTATTTTTGTGATAATGATATTGTTGTCATATTAGCTTACATATTCCTCATGTTGAGCGGTAGCAATGAGTCTCGTCGCAGGAGCGGCGTGGCTGATGATAGGCGCGGCGTAACGCGCCGGGGCAGCTGAGTATGCTAACGGAGCAATGCCGTAAGCGGCACGGGGCTGGTCATGACGCACGATGTTTTGTGAGGACACGGCGTGGCCTGTGGCAATGCGAGCGGGAGCGGCGTATGCGGCAACAGGAGCCGCGTAGGCGAGAGGAGCAGCGTGGATTGCTAAGGGAGCCCCACGAATCGCCTGAGGCTGGTCATGACGCACGATGCTTTGGGAGGAGACAGCTGCTGCCGATGAGTAGTGAGGCTGGGGCAATAGTCCTGCCGCAGACACCGCTAATACGGCGCTCAGAGTGAGGATCTGTAACAACACCGTAGTTAATTATGATTGTCTTTATAGGACGTTTGAAATAAAGCAAGTTTTTCTTTCTTACGTTACACTTTAAAATAAAGTGATGATTTATACGAGACTTACTTTAGAGAACATTTTAATTTGAGTTCAATGATCGACTGACAAGTTCTGCATTTGTCTTGGAGCTTTTATAGTGACTTAGTTTTGCGAACTCAAGGTCGACAGGTCATAAAGTATTACATACAAGAAGTGGAAGTGTTATAATCGGTATTCCAATTTAATGGTAAACTTAATAAAAAACTTAAAAATAAATTTCAATATTCTAATTAAGCGATTATGAAGATAATTTATTTCATTGTAAAAAAGCGTTGGCTTTTTTGAATTACACTCTTAAACTAATTCTGCATTATTGTAAATATAAATATATAGATAAAGTAGTAAGGATAAAATATTATAAAAATAGATTTCAAGCACCCGACGCTCCTTTAGCATAAAATAAATGTGACATTAACCACTTACTAACCATTAACTATTACATCACTCTTTATTCTTATTATGAAATTTATTTTTTACGCCCAAAAATGGACATTACGAAGTTGGTTGACAAGTTATTTTTCTTTTGTTAGGCTAAAGGAGTATAACTTCTTACGTGCGTACATAAGTAAGTTTTTAAACTTATTTTGTCACTTCTTCCCCGTTCCAGGAGGGTAACTTGCGCGCCTGCTGCCTTCATTGGATGTGATAGCCATTTCTCAGGCTCCATCTCTGGACGGAAGTCATTAATCATGATAAGCCTGGTCAGGGTAATGGGTGATAAGGGTGCAATTAAATTAATCTGGTGCTTTGTACAGAATGAAAATAGTTTTAGAAGATTCCTTTAAAAATATACAAGCGAAGCTAATAAAAGCATGTTATTAAGAAATGGTACAAACAATGATATCAACAATGTCATAGTCAACGATAATCTAGCCAGCCGCATATTTTGTGGCATTGGTGCGGGGTGTTTGGACCAAAGAGCGATTGCAAGAAATTTAAAAATTTAACTAATCTATAGTTTCTCGAGTATACAGAAAAAAAGGTTTGTGGATATAATTTTTTAAAAGAATAGGACGAGGTACGGACTGAACTTGATTAACTACCCCTAGTAATGACGGGTTTATTGCGAAATCTTATTTAGGAAATTGTGTTTAACGTCAGATGATATTGAACAAAAGCTAAATAAGGTGTGACTTTAAGTTTACTTTTAGAAGAAGGCTGAACGAGGGGGCTTTTTTCCCCTTTAGACCAGCTAATGGTCCAAACTTGTCTGCAGCACACAGAAAAGCTCGCTTGCTCTTTGCACTTGAACACTTTAATTGGATTGAGAGCAACGGATGTCTTTCATGAGTGTAGGGTATATCTATGTAGTTGAGATGGTCGTGGAAGAGTCTATTGTCCAAGTGGAGAACGATACGCTCAAAGCTCCATTAAGGAGCGCCTTCCTATTGGAGGCGAATTCTGTATGGTTTGGGGTGGTATATTGATGTAGGAACCAACGATAACTTTGGGACAATTTACAAAGAGCCGTGCATTAATAAAATCCCACAACTACCACAGTAGTGGCATTCTGAATAGCACTGACTCAAGAATGTAACAATGTTCTCTAAAATCGTTTATAAAACCTTGTCAAGTCTGTGCGAAGCCTATTGAAAGCAATAAAAGAACGTGAACAACTTCGTATAAGTTGAAAAAATAAACTGTAATTGGTTACTTTTTTAATTGTTAAAGCTAATTTTTGAATTAAACTGATTTTTGTACTGCTTATCGTTTTAGTCTACAAAAATAATTTGTCGTTTTCTATAAGCTTTACGTAATGAAGGTGGGCTACGTGAACCTACGCCGTCAGGTCGTAAATCGGTTCCTAGTTTTAAATTTAAATTGGTTTAAAAAATAATACACATGTTCGGTAAAAACATTTATTTACAAGTCATTTGTCCTCGGATGCAGTTTGTATGTCGGTCAATGTATTATCAAAAATAAGTTCTGTAAAGCGTTTAGATTGTACTTTATTTTAAGTTTGTGTATTTTGTAATTAAATTACTACAAAACTATTGAACCGTTAAGCTATCCGGTCAGGTCAATATCAATTTGGCTGAAACGAGAGTAATATTAGTTAGTTATAAATTTAAAACATTTATTGCCCTGTTTCATAAACTGAAAGTCGTAGGACGGAGCAGCATTGGTCAGTAGTTTTATCAGGGACAAAGTCGAAATATATTCGAAAGTTATTCAACTTAGGTACACAATGTAAAAGGTTGGTCAACAATATAAAAGATAAAAAATTTTGGAATGTAGGCCGGGTTTGGGAAGAAACGCCAGCCGACAAGATGAACAAGCCTTTATAAATTTATTTTAAGCCTCAAAGGCTAAAAGTAGATTATACAGTGTAAGTTTATAGGTCCATCCATATGTTTAAAAGTTTCCGTGTAGAGACTAAATTCAAAAGTTTTCGTCCTAACTGTTTGTGGCAAAATTTTATTATAAACAATATTTTTGGGTATGTTTAAAAGCTTCTGCAGAACTAGTAGTAAGTTTATTCCCGGCTAAATCTACAGTTTCTTTTATTATTTCTGTATGTTGCTTAGTTCAATTATGATTGCTTTTTTTAAATTGTTATCTTCATTCTATTTCTAAATAATGCAGTAACGCAATTGCCAGGCAATTGGCTTCGGTGCTGGTCAAATGTTCGATTTCCACTCGAGACAAGTACTTGTGTGTCCCACAGATATTCTCCTGGATATGGGTGTTTATTACCAAGGCGTGACGTCAGATAAGAGGCCTGTCGTAAAAATTCAAACCAATGACATAACATGACTCACACTTTGTTCTGACGCCACCTAGGTGGATTAAGAAAGATGGTGACAGATATTTCTAAGACTTTTTCTCATTTATAATATATCCGAGCATAAATGCTATGTCGTTTTAAAAATAGAACGGTTTACGTTTTCAGTAAATATTCATCGTATACATGGTGTATCTCTTTGGTTTAAATGTGTTATGCATTGTAAAAGGAACACGTACAATTTAGAACAAGAAATACAGGTAGAGATCCCTAGTGTTATTTTCATGTTATGTTGAATTATCGTGGCTGTGTGACCGAGGCGATAACAGTTATCATTTGTCGAGTACGTAGGACGCCAAGCTCGATTTTATTTAAATAATCTGTCTGACAATAGGGACACCTATTTAAGAGATACTGGACAAAGGCCTTTAAATTTTATGTAATTTCAACAGTTGAGTACTCCATACAAAATCACTAGGTTAAGGATATATATAAAATATAAAAGAAAGATATTTAGTATTCACATAATTTACTGAAAGTTTTCATTATTAAATTAAATAATTTACACACGAGGAGACTAGAATTATCGGTTAAACATTTAATGATGGGCGAGGATGACGGGGGCAGGGGCAACATGGCGCGCGGGGGCTGAGTTGCTGACTACTGCGTTGAAGCCGTTGTGGTCATCTGCGGTGTATTGTACTCTGCGCACCGAACCGTCAGCCTCCAGGAGCGAGTACTCGCCGTGAACGGCGTCACCGTCGCGGCTTTCCTGCTGGGACTTGTTGTCACCAGTGTGTCCATCAGCAACAGAGTAAGAGAAATCGTATCGTGGGTAAGCCTGAAATAAAATTAAGCGATATTAAAATTAAGATTCATCCTCAACAGTAATTATTTTTCATATTGTGATATATTGTTGTCGTATTAGCTTACATATTCCTCATGTTGAGCGGTAGCAATGAGTCTCGTCGCAGGTGCGGCGTGACTGATGATGGGCGCGGCGTAACGCACCGGGGCAGCTGCGTATGCTAACGGAGCAATGCCGTAAGCGGCACGGGGCTGGTCATGACGCAAGATGTTTTGGGAGGATACGGCGTGGCCGGTGGCGATGCGAGCGGGAGCGGCGTATGCGGCAACAGGAGCAGCGTAAGCGAGGGGAGAAGCGTGGATTCCTAAGGGAGCCGCTCGAATAGCCTGGGGCTGGTCATGACGCAGGATGCTTTGGGAGGAGACAGCTGCTGCCGATGAGTAGTGAGGCTGGGGTAAAAGGCCAGCTGCCGACACTGCCAGCACGGCGCTAATAGCAAGAATCTGAAATAAATTTCTCATATTAGTTCAGGTATAAGTTCGAGTATAAGTTAGTTAAAAACATGTATTGAAATTGCGAACATAGTTAATATTTTTATCACAATTATGATTTAGTCGATATTGATCTAGAAACATACTTTTGAGAACATGATCGTAGAAAGTTTACGATTTACTGATAAGTACGGTATTTTTCGCAGAGCTTTTATACTAAATTAATTACGACTTGTTCGAAGGTCAACCGGTTCAAAAGCAGTTCAACTTGATTTATTTATACTATGGTGAATGTTTTTATCGGTAACTTTATTCATTACATACATGAATACAATGCTCATTTGTCTTTTCACGCGTATTTTGTCTTTCGACATCTGCATTATATCGATCTCGGCATTATTTGGAATTTAGCTATTTATATGGGTATTCACATATTGATATCCAATTTTAATTCATCATCAACTATTTCCTGCACAACATGTTACTTAAATAACGGATGCGTAAGATACCCATCCGGTATTTAAGTAAGCATTGGTTAACCAGCTTGCACTAGTAGCCACATTTTTAATTTAATATCGGTTGTTTCACGCTACTTAGATCCGTGAGTAATTTCAACACGAATTGGCTTATTTCATCTCACTTGACGAATCGTGGAATCGAAGTTGTCGAGAACCTACCGCATTAGGCAGTTCACACTACAATGTTATGTGTTCTTATCCATTACTCGATGCCTCTCACGATTAAGCAAGACGACCCTTTTGTCTATGTTAATATTACAGGGTATAGTGTAATGAACGTATAACTTTGTTATATGAAGATTGTATATTATTATTTTTTAATTATTAATTATTTTTCTAAACTAATAAATTAATTAATTTACTTTCGAAATTAAACTTTTTTTGTCCGTTTGAAAAAATATGAGAGTAAAATTTTTACGATGCGCGCGTACACCGACAGCGACATGATTAAGTTGATGGGTGTTACGCAGTAAAATTTCTTACGTGCGTACATAAGTTTGTACACATATTTATACATACATAAGTATGTGCGTACATAAGTACCTACATATATTTTTTTTTAAATGTTGCACGAATGGGCAGGTCCATCCGGGGAAGTACCGCGGCTGCACAGAAGACCAGTGTAAAGTGCACGTAAAATGTTTGTGTTATGAAAATTGTTTGTAAAATTTAATTTAATTCAAATTTCAATATTTCCTTAACGTTACTAGTGGTTTGATCGGAAAATGATTTTCAGTGAATTAGTCGGTGCAGTAAGTAAAAAAAAAGCTCATAGCTTTATTTATGTATCTGTGTGTGTGTGTGTGTATTTTAACTTGCAAATCTCCAATGGAATGTTTCTATTGTACAAAATAACATTGAAAAGATATGTTAGCTCTTTTGTTTTATTTTATGAATATAACTCTCTGCAATCAACATGACATTGATTTTTTGGGTCTTTCGTTAATGTACGGCGAAGGAATTCGGCATATTATTTATAAATATTATTTATAAGTCCGAATCAATTATTTATAAAGGTAAACTGCTCAAGGTATAAAGTAAAAGTATAAAGGGGGGACAAAAGTTTCTTTACAAAGTAAGTATGCTAACTCATTTTCGATCGACTTGATCATTCACTTTGATAAAGTCGATCGAAAATAAGTTATTCGTTGATATTTGTAGCAGTTCTATTCAAATTCAAATTCTAATATCTTTATTCAATATAGAAACATTATACTCACTTACTAATTGTCAAAACACTACCACCCGGTTTGTTCTTAATTTCCTGTGGTTCAATAGAAGAAACTAAGGGCTCCAGCGTATAAATGAAAATAGTATTGCATGCACGACCAAACCATAGCTAAACGCTCGTTGTGGTGAATACACAGTAAAAATATTTTAGTCTTCCTTTCTAAGTGACAGTGAAATTGAATACCGCTTGATATATCAATTAGAGGAAGTCTCATAAAGCAGCTGTAACAAGGGAAATATTTACAAAAGAACTCTTAAGTACGGTACGTTATTAGGATTCTTTATCGTAAAGGGCGACGAGATGGACACTAAGTTCACGGTTGATCGGAGTGGCACGGGACCTTTATATATTAGCTGATACAGTAAAGGTGGCAACATGAATTGGTCTCGTGCTACCGCAAAGCAGAACGGGATTGAGAAAGGTTAGTCCTTGCTCGAAGTGTTCTCACTTATATTACAGATGGACCCGCACGCGCGTGGTCCACAGAAGATACCTTAACACGAAATAAAGCAAATGAAAGTAGATTATATTCATTTTAGAAATTCGATTATAAAGAAATTAATTTGTCTAACCTTAATTTAATAAATAAATGGTAATGCAAAAAATCGCTCCCAAAGTACCGCCCAATAATTCGGTGACTGGTTTCGTTAATGTGAATTCGAGGTGAACCTAAAAAAAATCGTATCGATACAGTTTGCAATTGCGGTATTGAAATGTAGTGTTAAATGTAGCAAATTATCAAATGAACCCTAACCCAAGCGTTTGGAAACGCCGTCGATTCGAGAAACAAGACGAAAATATTCTGAAATTACAAATATAGGTAACGTATGGAATACACAAAACGTTAAAGTAATTGATGAAATATTATTTATTTCATACTTTGCCTAGGCATGCAATACCATACCGAACGCGCAGCTCGTGATGGGTGGAAGAGATGAAAGAAGGGACGTCGGAGTCGTGCTTTAAAGATGACAATAAACGCTTTGTAACTTGTCGCATTTCGTCCCGTTGCGGAATGGGTGGATGCGCGTAGTGTAATGAATTTATTGCGTAGTTTTTATTTTTGTTGAGTTTCATTAGTGAATTTGTTTTGAAGCAGCAAACAGCAGTCCGTACAGAACCCTAATGGTCCGAAGATGAAAATTAGTCCCCACATACGCTTCCATACCCAAGGAGGAGGGCTATATCAAGTTCGTGGTAGATGTGGTTTTCCCACATTCCCCAGCCATTTAAGCTCTAATAGCCTATCGAAGTGAAAGCAAAAGCATTAAATTCCTCTAGTCAGATAAAAGCTACTCTCAGGTACCCTCGAAACGGAATGCTAAACGGTCACTGAGTAACAGCCCAATTACTCCATGGAGCGTCCGACAAAGAGCTTGGCGGCCTCCCAGCCTGGACACTAATACTAATATTAATAGAGTGACAGCCCGAGCTGAGGATCCCTCAGGAGCCCTCGAGCTTAGTCACTCACAAACCGAGCGACCGGCTATCTCAAGTCCAGTGGATCTGTAAAGGCCCCTAAGGCCAACAGTGGTATATCATGCAAAAAAAAAGTTATATAAATTTCATGATTTCTTGTTATTTATTAACCATTCACATTTATAGTTTATTGTGATATAGCACAAGTTTCATTTGTTTTCACCCGCTGTATATTTTGGCCAAATATTAACAAGTTAAAAGAAAATATCTAAGTGTCAATGTTAATGTTCTTATATTTTGTTCATAATTCCTAGTCACGCCGGGCACGGAGCAATCAGCTTGTGGCCGTTATAACTTGACTGCGTATGATAATTCTAATAACAAACTAATTAGTTTTACTTACCGAAAAGTGACTATGATACTTATCATCGTCACGTAGATCATTGCCTTAACCGTTAGTTTAATGTAGCGGGTGTATTACTGTGGTGTTTATGAATGTGTAAACGCGAACTAGCGTAGAGAAATTCTTTAGAATACATGAAACAGTTCTTGTTGCGGAGGCACTACAAAAATAATACTGATGCTCTTGCTAAGACAGGGGAAAAATTACTAATGATATAGTCATAATATGAAATAATTTGAATTTTAAATAGGAAAAATTTGTTTTTCTAATTACTTTCATGCTAATTTTACTTTATTGTATGCCGAGTATAATTAAAATAAAAGCGTATGTTATAGCTGTAATGAAAAAGAAAAAAATCAGAAGTAGGATTAATTGGACAGAGACAAATAAGTAAATAATCAAAGTTTTTTCATTATTTTAAATGCTTGGTGTAAGTTTTTATATTTTAAAATTTTACCCGACTAATTTGCCTATGAGGGACCAACAAGCGGTAGCTTAAAGCATAAAGAATCTGCATAAATAGAATACTGTTGGTATTAGCGATATTAAAATCCGTTACTCACGCGACTTGAGTAAAACGTGACTAAACGACCTAGTTATATTTTTGTAATGTGTTGTTAAGCCGTTATTGCACAAGTTAAAATGAAAATTCGTTGATGTAAATAAATTGAATTATAACGAAAGAAACTGTAAAATTGTATATATAAATATCATAAGCCTAAAAATGGATTTCAGTGCAAATATAGGTATTTTATGTTATAACACATCATGAAAATTTTGAATATAAATCAAAAGTAAATTATTAAAAGTATGCAGGACAAAATTATAGATAAAGATGTCTAATGATTATAAAAATACGTACAATAGATGATAGATGAATGATAGATAGATGGTAATGCCAACAAAGAATGTGAAAATAAAATTAGGTTTTGTTTTTGAAATAAAATTTAATAATCATACAAGTACATTGAAAGCAAACAAATATTTTTAATGATGAGATACGTATTTCGTCACCTTAACGGATCCATGGGGATCGTGCCAGGAATATCCACTCTCACTATTGTGCCCATCTCGATGCTCGTGTTGTGACTTAATGTCACCTGTGTGGTGGTCTTCCACCTTGTATTCAAATTCATACTTGGGATGAGTCTGTAATAAATGACATAAGTTAGTCATTCAGGAATGTATCGAAAAAAGTTATACAAAATGTTGCATAATTTATTTTGGATTTTCGAATATTAACAATGCATAATATATAAAATTTCGATTGGATAACTTATAGTGCTATTATTCCACTTTTACGCCATAAAATTGAAATACGTTAGGCAACATAGGCGAAAAAGGAGAAATACCGTGAGATACTAAATATTAATTGACTTGACTAAGCATAAAGTCAGAATTATAAGCTATTTGAGATTGACTGTCTTCAATTAATTAAAAAAAATCTTACATAATAATCAACGTGATGATCGTGATGATGTCCGTGTTCATGTCCGTGTACATGTACAGGATGATGGTGACCATCATGACGTGAAATATGAGTGGACGAAAATGCATGCTCTTCTGCATGACTCAATCCCATGCTCACAGCGGCTAAAGAAGCGATAAAAATAATCTGCGAAATACGAGAATTAAAAGAGTTGTTAAAAATTTAATAAATATGGTAAAAATATTGTTAAGCAGTAAAGTTTTGCAAAATTTATAAAATATAAAGTAATAAAACACCTTTGAATTCATTGTTTTTTTGTTGCTATTCAATGTTACTGAAAACAGAGCGCTTAAATGAATGATACGTAGGTCACATTTGGCACGACTATATATGCAGCTTAATAATAATAAACTCCAAGGTTTGCTGTTTTCTCTTGAAACTTAGATATACGTTAAGCCGGAGAAAATCGTTTGTTCAAGGTCGAGAAAGTATTTTACTGCGTAACGTTTCTCAAATGATTTTAGTGGTGTAAGTATTACAATCAATGGCTGTTGGGATCAGTGGCAAATTTGATTAATGATGTATTAAATTTTAAATACATTTAATGTTTTGAGTAACGGTAAAATGTTTTTTTATTCTATTAATAATCATTAAATTATTCAATATTAGCAAGCAATTACCGCTTAAAAAAGAAGTAGCTTTATTAATGTTAACTATAATAATTTCTGTTTTTATTTGTCAATGCTTGACTTCCATATTAACCAAACTTATTCAATCCAGCACTGAAGATAATGCTCAATCAAACGGAAAGGAGAAAGCTGGTACATTCAGCTTCTTTCACATGGCATCTGCATTGTAATTTTATATTTCTTGGGCATCAATACGCGTCCTAGCTACGATAAATAATTCCTGAGTGCATTAATTCCTTAGCCAAAAGAAAATGTTTGTGAATGCTTTTTTAATACAAGCATAAGTAATTAATTGAAATTGACATTTACTAAACTTGGAAATAATTGTAATATCGGATGGGGTAGAAAGAGCAGGCTTATGTTAGGCTTTAAGCATTTATAACAACATTTAGATAGTAAATGACTCCGTGACGCAGGTGCCAAGGTATTGGCTTCAGCGTCGGGGGTCGTGGGTTCGATCCCCACACGGGACAACTAATTGTGTGACCCACATATCGTTGTTTCGTATCTGGGTGTTTGTCCACGTTAAATTTATGTTTGTAAAACGTCCTTACAGCACACGATAATGTTATCCTAAAGTAAGGGCAAAGTTTAAAAAAAATGGCTATGGTGTAATGTGCATATATATGTATGCATCATTAATTCTAAAAACGAAATACCCGTTATGTCATGTTTATTCCTAGTAAACTAATTGACTATCACAGTTGAATTGACTGCTCATTATCCCTTAGCAAGAACTAACCCTTAGAAGGTTCTCAGCAAGAGAAACTTCTTAATTTGCTGAAATAATCTATCATAAGAATATAAGTTGCTAACACCGATCTGCTGTAATTTGCCTGCTCGGTGTATTAGGCCGTAAGTATTGTGTCTAATTTTGTAAATATTACAGCCGTTGTCGATATCCATTTTTAGATGAATTCAAAATTCAAAATCAAAATCAAAAATATATTTATTTACATAGACGCTTGCGCATTCTTATGAAACGTCAACATTTTACATAAAAAATAATACGTTCGTAAGTAAGCTACCACCGGTTCGAAAGCAGTTTCTGTTGAGAAGAAACCGGCAAGAAACTCAACAGTTGCTCTTTTTTTAAAACGATTAGTTTACAATATAATAGGATAGGTATAAATCTTACTTTAGCTTACGTGAGTATCAACAGTATTAACCCCACACATTGGCGTCGTCAAGATATTCCGCAATGGTCAATTGATGTTGATGTCAATTGGTCAGTTGCCTAATCTTCCTAATCGCAAAAACAGTGGAGCTTTGAATCTACTGTAATCCCCAAGAAAACAGCGGGCTCAACAGGATTGAGAGATACGTTATTTAATAATAAACCAAAACTTTGCCTTCTTACTAGGAAGAGTAAAAAGAATACATTTAGTTTTTTTGGCACTTAATAACATTAAGTGCCAAACATTATTTATGGTAAACCAGTGGAGGATATGCGAAAGTGTAAATGGTGCTCCGTCGTCATAATTTGATAAATTTCGGTCCTTCGGTTACCTTAAAGATGAGCGATGTATCGTCAGCAAACAGTACATCATCATAAAACTCACTGGCATAAGAGGGGAGATCATTTATATATACTAGAAATAATAATGGGCCCAAGACTGAGCCTTGTGGGACACCCATTTTCGTGGGGGACCCTGTGGAATTAACATCATTTATGGATACTTTTTGAATTCTAAGGTAAGAGGTAATGAGATTGAGGGCGCTGTTACGAATGCCATAATAATCTAGCTTGCAAAGAAAAGGGTTTGTGATCTACGTGGTCGAAGTCTTTTGGAAGGTCGCAAAAGACACCTAATGCATCTTGTGACCTTTCTCAGGCGTTATAAATATGCTTGATAAGTGCGACGCCCGCATCTGTTGTCGATCTGCCTTTAGTGAATCCATAATAACTTCTGCTGTCATAATGTCGATAATACCAGCCAATTTGGGCCTTAAAATTCTGTTGAGTTTGAATATAAATACCCAGTATAACTTCTTTTTGAGAGAGAATACAGTGTAGGATAACATCCCCACACTGATACAAGAAAATCACGCAAATTATGATAATGAGAATCAAGTGGACCAGTAAAATCATTGGGATTTTAGATTTGATTGGCACTGGCCGGGCCCCCAATCCAAAATCTTAATCATCTAATCGCCCGTAAATTTAGTTTACCCATTTAGTCGCCTTTTGAAACACATGGGAATATCATTGTTTCTTTTTTGTTAAAATCTTTATGGATGCGCCGATGAACAGTAGAGGCAGTATGTGGAAGACTATGACAGAATTGAATTATTGGATCGGCATTTTTTCTTTTCCCGCGTGGGCCATTGGAGTTGAATTTTCTGCCAGCGCACCTGGCACTATGACTGATAGAGTCAGGTCTTGAATGATCATTTTGACCAGAATTCATCACTGTGCTTCCTACGTAGGGTTCTGTAAGATGAGCCGTGATAGCTCAGTGTCCGGGCGCTCGCCTTTATTTCAATATACTCGAGCAACCTGAGTTTGATCCCCGGTGCCTGCACCAATGAAGTTTTTAACTTTAAGTGCTGACTTATCACGTGCTCCGCGGTGAAGGAAAACATCGCGAGGAAACCTGCATATTTTCGAAATAATAACAAATAAATATATGTTGCATGGACTCTTTGTTCCGGTTGCAGAGAAGGAATTACGTTGGTTGTTTGCATCAGTTTCTGCAATACTTTAATTAAAGTATTCACCATAGCACCCGTGCCCGGCGTGTGCTTGAGTAACTCAAAGTCACTCTGGTTGATCACTTAGTTATAGGCTTCGAAGCTTGTTAAGAGTGTGCTCAACTGTGCGCTAAATATGTCGCGTCTTTTGAAGGTCTATCTATAGAACTCTCTACCGTGTTAGTAATACAAACAGCATCGTCAACATCTTTATTCGCATGGATTTTTAGTTGATATATCATAAAATCACTCATTAATAAGTACTAATTACTCTAGTCAATAATTCTCGCAACTTGGATTTAGAAGGTAATAATATCATTCATATTTGATTGTTTCTTGCGACCCTTGTGCTGGCAAGGGAAATTATACCATAACGTTGTTCCATTTTAAAATTCCAATCAACAAGTGCGCTTTAAAATAAAATTGAGACTGAATGCACAGATGTTATAGAATGGATAAAATAGAACACCGTATGGTCATTAAGTAATAGTTTAAAAAATATAACATAACTTCGTATCTCATTGTAAAATAGTGGGTAGCAGATTTCAAATGTGGAGGACAGAGTATCCAAAATTACCCTCATTCCGGTCGGCCTACGCCTCAAGAGAACATCAGCAATTAGTCATCAGGATATTATATGGTAAACAGGAGTTTGTTTTATGGATCCAAAGGATTGCCGATACTGTAGGCTTCTCATATAAATGAAAGGAAAATGTCACAGTCAATGAACTTAGATTTTCTAACTTTTTCGTTTGGTGGGCCCCCAGATTGCTTTCATTTGAGTGAAAACTATTTTTTTTTATATGGGAAGGTGGCAAGTGAGCTGGCGGTTCACTTGATGTTAAGTGATAACCGCCGCCTTTGACCATTCACAACACCCGTAAAGTTGCAGATGCGTTGCCACCTTTTAATAATGTGGGCCCCGCTACCTCAGTCACCAGATGAAACGCGGAAGTAAAATGCTAGGCACCTTATGCCGGACAGAACTGCCAATTCGTATATCAGCGAAGACTCTTTCTATTCTTTTTGTCTATATATCACTGTAAAATTTGAAAAAAATGACTCACTATTACTCGATTTTGAAATGTTTGAAACTCATTCGTACGATTGTTTAAAATATTTTCGACCATGAATGAATGAAACCTGGATGAACCATTTTACGCTAGAAACATAACAATCATCCAACAAGCAGTGCGATTAATCGACTAAATATAGCGACGGTGTTTTAATATTTTTTTGTTTTGTTATGATGACGGACGTCATTGAGAGTATTTCCTGATTAGCGCCTTCACAGACTTTCTTTCATTAGTTACCAAACCTAGAACACATTTTTGGGCAATTTTTTTTTCTTAAAGGTCTCTATTGTATTCGTATTCATGAAGTGATTCAAATTTGAAAAAAAAAAAAAACAAGCGTAAGAAAAATAATTATTTTATTGTTTTGATAATAGCACTTCAGAAGAACAGGGTCATCAGGATATCCAAGGCTGTTATATATATGCACATCATTTGACTTCTTCAAAGCGGTTCGTTTACCCATAGAACCTGATTTTATCATGCCCAATATTTTTAATGATGGTGGTGGAGGTGGTGCGTGCTGTATTTCACATCAGCATGAAAACTGAAAGTAAATCGGAACAATTTATTATAATAAGATAGTTTGTCATAATACAAAGGTATCATATCTTTTAACCCTAACTTTCTACGCAAAGAGCCTATTCTATCCGCATTAAACTGAGATTATTTAGTACTGCTCATGAAAGGTATTCGACATAACGTTTACTACCAGGTAAAATAACGCAATAGTAATGTTTGCACGGAAGAAATTTTAACACTCATTATAGAATAGGCACGTGGCTAGTGTTATGGATTCGAAACCGTACGATATCGGGAAAAAACATCGCCACTGCCGCATAAATCATCATCATCATCATCATCCCCCTCCCCTTATCCACCTAGGTTGGGTGGGCACAACATACGGCAATCATGTTGTTAGCGGATTTGGCTATGATTTTTACGACTTGCAGCCTGCCTGACACAACAAGTATCTGCGGGTCACACAAATACTTGTCCCACTCGAACCCATAACACCCGACAACGAAGCCAATAGCTTAGCAACGGCGCCAAGAGTCATCCACCACTGCCACAAAAATGTTTGGAAAAGTAAATTTTGCCTTTACTCACCCGCTGTGATCGTCGGCATGGTACTCTACATGTCTGTCAGAGCCATCCGGTTGGTTCAACGCGTAACCGCCTTTAACGACATCACCATCACGGTGCTCATGCTGCGATTTCTTGTCGCCCGTGTGATGGTCCTCCACTTTGTACTCGAATTCGTACTTGGGATGAGTCTGTGGAAATAAACAAAATGAAATCAAGGTTCAGATAACCAAGCAAGTCTTCGGTTCTGTTATAGATAACAGAACCGAAGACTTGCTTGTTTATCTACTTGCTTGGTTACCCTAGGCCCTAGAGGGTATTATAAGCAACAAGTCCAAAATTTACAAAATACGGATACCGCTGAAAATCTTAAAATAACTAGGTAATTTTTATGAATTTAGATAATTTTTACAATAACATTCAAATACTGGTAAGTTTTGATACGACAAATCTGACAATACTTATACTTTGGGTATATTTTCAGAGTTTAATTACATAATAATCTAAATCTCCGATTAGTGACATCTTAATTAAACTTACATAGTAGTCCAGATGTCCATGACCATGTTCATGGTCATGCTGATGAACACTTTCGTGATGACCGTCATGACGTGATATGTGATTAGAAGAGTATGCGTGGCCGTGATCTTGCGAAACCACTGCAGCGACAATCGCAGCAAGGCACAAGACCTTTAAAATAATTATACATTCATTTTTTAGTGCTAATCTCTACACGTGATGCAACGTAAAATGTGTACATAAATTGTCAAAAAATATTTATTTGCTGTTGCTAGGATTCAAACCTGCGCTTTCAGGGCTACGTGCTAAGAACTGCTAAAAATGCAATAAAAAAAAGTAGAAAAGACGTCAAGATTTTGGTGTGGTTTGATCTGGGCTCATATCCCTCACGCGCAGGTTCCAATCCCGGAAACGGTGGAGAAAATTTTATATGATTTATCTACACGTTTTGAATAATTATTCATGAACTTAATATTTTTATAGGGTATTTAAAGTTTTTTTTATTTACTTGTAAGAACATTTTGATTGTAATGCCCGAGTGACTAGCGTTAAAATGCCTATCGCTAATAGTTAACTGATGCGTGTAGTGTCGAATGCACGACTTTTATATGATATCTCGACGTATAAAACGAAATTTCTTCAAGGTTAATTTGATTTAATCCAACGCAATTTTATTGTTTCCACACGTTCGCGTGCATCGGAAGTGAAAGCTTTATTAAGTTATACTGTTATGGTTAAAGTGTTAGTGTATTTAAAGTTAATCGGCCATTAGATACTATTTTTTTTACTGTGGTTGGGCCAGGCAACAGACTTCAAGAATGGGAAGGTTCGCGACGTCACAGAAGACCGGCATGAAGTGGAAGTGTTATACTTCTGAGCGTACCATTCCAGACGGTTAGTGACGTAGGTGGGCACCTCTCTATTATAAGGAGCGGCGTTTATCAAATGAACCGCCAACTCGCTTGCCACCTTCTCACATAAAAAAAATTATGTTGTGAATTTTAGTGGACGGTGGAATTAATGAAAACCTTAAAAAAGATAAAAGGCTGCTAACTGGTCATATTCCATTTAAAAAGTTTTTTGTATTTAAACATGGTTTAATAATTTTACCAAAATATTAGCCCTAACATTAGGTGCAACCTGTCCTTTGAATCATTAGCTTCCTTACCTAAGGATTTCCAGCCAGCACAAGAGCAGAAATGTTTTATCAACATATTTATAAAATTATTTATCACTCCAAAAAAAGATGTAAAAGAAAAACTGGCCACGATTGAGGCAGTAAATAAATCTTAATTATAATATGAGCAATTTTGTAATTACTCATATTATCATTTCCATTAAATATTAGAATTATTATTAAGGCTTCATAAAATCTTATCAGTGGGAACACATCTAAAAATAAAGGCAGAACAGAAACTGTGAGAATTGCAAACGAGCTCGTAGTTCACCTGATGTTAAGTGATAACCGCAGTCCATTGACATTTGTGACACCCGTAGGGTTGCAACCTTTTTAATAAAGTGGGCTCTGGCTAATTCACTTTCCACATGAAATGCAGAAGTGTAATATTTCCTATCCACGTCAGGCTTCTGTGAGATACTTCCCCGGACGGACCTGCCCATTTGTGCAACAGTTAAGCCCGTTGCGTGTACTGTGACCGTACCGCTACGAGCATAGAGAAGCGAGGACATTTTCAGGGAAAAGAGGCTCGGTTCTTATTACTTATATTATAATTTCTAGATAGTCCCTATAAGATATATCAGGTGTTAGTAATTTGGGCTTTCCTCTAGTTTTCAGCCCAGTTTTCCAGGATTTTGCAAAAGCCCTTCATTCAATTCTTAAAATAAATATGGTTGAGAGTGGTTCCGCCTGCACGTAAGGAATTCTGGACTTTTATTTTGCTCTTCGATGTTATTTACCGGCAGCTAACCAACTGACGAGAAATATTCACGGTATGCATATAGAGATTTTTGTTTCGGACCCCTATTGTTTTTTACCTTATTTAAAGACCTTGACTTCTTGACTTCTTCAACATTTACCACACCGGAAAAATGCGATTTTAGTAAATCAAATACCATGCGCCGAAGTATAACATGGAAATGGATCTTGCATTCCGCAATTTAGCTGCACGGAGGACTATGGCTGTTATATTTATCCGAAGTCATGGTCCCGCTTTGGGAACTTTTTACTAATAAATAATTATGCTGCTATATAATACACTTTGATTAAACGTGATAAAATATGAAACATTTGATTTATAACTGTGTGGTTAAAGTATAAGGTGTTCTTATACCGGAAATACGGTGATGTGAGAAGAAAGTAAACATTTGTTGTGGAATGTGAAGGAATCACATAGTTATGTAAGTATGTTATAGTTGAAAGAGATTCGATGTGAACACTTTGTTTTTATTTCACAGGACTATTGTTATAATTTAGATTTACTTTCTATTCATCGAAAGATACATAACATAAAGAACAGATGCATAATATGGAATGATAAAATATGATCATGAAGTAAATCATGCTCTCCTATTATTTAAGCATAAACTATGTTCCATGTAGAGTCAAAATTAAATAATGGACACCATTTTAAGTAAATCTTATAAATAAAATTATCTTTGGTATTCGCCATAGCATATACAAGGTCTACAATTGTTTAGCTACATTGAAAAATAAACAAAGCATAACGATTTAAAAAGTATATCGTATTTAATCCGCGATCCAATTACTGACATTCCAATACACACTTGTGTGACCACTTTTCTAAGTTACAAAGTTTTATGTGTTATACGTAAATAGATATATCCAAATCCTACTATTAAACTAAACATATAAAATTAATATTACCTCCACCAAAAAAATTAATACAATTTCATCTAGCTAAAATTTAGGATTTTAGGCTTTTTTTAAATAATATATCATGTTCGTTGTCGAGTACCATAACGTGGTATCGTGGTATCGTTATATATGTCTTGTTAGTTATATAGTTTTATAAACAAAAATATAATTAAAAACTATTTCTTCTTAATAAGGAGTTCAAAAAGCTTTCTACGCCTCTTGGCTCCTTTCTACTTCCATAATTCATCATATAATTTCAAAGCAAAAATAAAGACTGAACGTTTTTTTAAAACATTTTATTTGTGTTCTGTTCTTATATCATTTCGTAACTCAATTATTTTATTTAAGAAGGAAAAGAACTAATAATGGTGATGATGAGGAACAATATGGTGAATGCCGTATTTGACGTCCGCGTGAAAACTGAAATCAAACAAAAAATATTTATCAAAGACTCATTTATCAAAGCAAATACATTGTAAGAGCTATATAGTTAGAGATCCGAGGGAAATAGTGGTATTAATTACGTCCGTTTAAACTTTCTTACCCGCTGTGATCATCAGCATGATATTCAACATGCCTTTCGGAGCCGTCAGGTTGGTGCAGCGAGTAGCCTCCCTTCACAGCATCACCATCACGGTGCTCATGCTGCGACTTCCTATCGCCTGTGTGGTGATCTTCCACTTTGTACTCGAACTCGTATTTAGGATGGGTCTGAAATATATCCCTGATAAGTCGTATTATGTTAAAGATTTTACAATAATTTTATACAAGACCCTAGTATTACATAGTAGTCGATATGATCATGCTCATGTCCATGCCCATGGACGGTTTCATGGTGCCCATCGTGACGAGAGATATGATTAGAAGAATACGCATGACCGTGATCTTGAGAGACGACCACGGCGACTAACGCTGCCAAATACATCACCTGAAATACGATTTAAATATTTTTTTTATACGAATATTATTAATTACTTTTATCTAAGAACTGCAAAATTTGAGATAAACGTAGTTAAAAATCACATACCTTGAAATACATTTCGATATAAAATAATAGTAGCGACGCTACGGTCAAATGACATAGAACTGATATATTTCGCGTGTTACTTGCGGCTTTTATACTAAAAACAATGGTTAGGTATTAAATTAACAAGGTTACATAGATTTCGTAGACCTCAATCATTTTGTTCATTAGATTTCTTGTTTAATTTCTAGTGCAAAAAATAAAAAAAAAGTGAAAGCGTATCAGAATCTTTAATTAAAGAGCTATGTTTAATGTTTAATTGAGCAAAACAACATAATGTTATGTCTAATACTATATCTTGATAGACTTTAATAATTATTATTGTTATACTAATTAGGTATTACAAAAATGAGTTACGTACGATATCTATAATGTAATTCTTGAGTGAAAAAAAAAAAGAACTAAGTTTTTTGGACGATGTCGGTTACTACACTACAATCATAATTGTTAACTAATAATGATGTGTCAAATTTTAGATTTTTTATAGTGTCCAAATAAATTAATGATTTGTGAAGAAGAATATTCAATAACCCTAGAAAAAATGTTAATCGACATCGAGTGATATTTTGTAGGCATATGTACCCATGTACAAGCATCACTTCAGTCCATTATATACATATATTTAGCAAGATAAAATGAAAATATTTGTGGTTTAACGTCACGATTTTTCATGTATCTTACAAAATTGGGCCTGAAGTTTCAGTAACCATTTTTAAATTAGTTTAACCATACGTAATTACTTAGTACCTGGAGGACCGAGCTTTGTTTTTTTTTGGTAAATCGTGTATTTTGGAAATTACATTTAGCTACAAATTACTGCGTAATGAAATATGCATAATATATTTCGATCTTACCGACGTAATAATAAGAAAATATGAACTGGTGATTTTCACAAAAGAAAGAACTTTAAAAAAAAGAGAAAAAAAATAACAAATCGACAAAATTAAAAAATAAAGCAAGCAATGATCTGGAATCGAAAAAAAGTAAAAAAATAAGTATGTAAATGATCGTGACACGAACCACCACCTTCTGTTTCGGAGCCGCCTGATTACCGACCGAGCTATTATAACATTTTTTTTTCGTCGAAATTTACCGTCATATTCGAATGATGTTTTTCATTCCCTGAAAACAGGGATAAAAGGACATTTTCTTAAAATGAAACCTAGTTAGATCGATTTTTCGCCCCCGAATCTACGCACATACACATTTACAGTAACAGTAACACACACATTTACAGTAAATCTGAGTGCCGGGGCTTAATTCAATATTTTCGTGTAAGCTGATTTTAAATCCCAGTGCTAACTAAAATTGTTAATTTTAAGCGCTGATTAATCACGTGCTTCGCGGTGAAGGAAAACATCTTGAGATAACAAAAAAAAATATGTGGAGCAAAGATATGTGTAGTCTGCCAATCCTCAGTGGGGTGGCGTAGTTTACTATGCCCTATAATACTTTGAAGCGGTCTTTGCCCAGCAGTGCGACATATACAGGCTGTTACTTCACGTTACTATTCTACAATAATGCCTCACAGTACAGTATTAAAATCTTGTGTAAAAACTATGCTGGTTGCATTAGACCTGCTTGATACCTTGCCCAGCTGAGGTACCATACTTTATACATCTTATCTTTCACACCAACATTGTTGTGGAGAGCAGCAATTACCTACACAATCAATATAATGGTATGGTGTGATATATACGTTGTGCTTAATAACAAATGACACCTGGAGTATTGTTAGCTAGACGAAAAACTAAACCATCCTTCAGTGTCAGTTGAGGAAATCACTCCACAAGGCGAGATATCAAAGTGCATATTAAACTTTCGCGTTTAGTCTGGTGAGTGAGGTAGCCGTGGCCCACATTTTAAGGGTTGTCAATGCATCAGCATGCCATCGGGTATTGTCTATGTCCATGGGCGGTGGTATTAATTTATCATCAGTTGAGAGCAAGGGGGAGGCGCTTGCAGCCAGTCTGGACGTAGCGAAAGCCTTTGATCGGGTGTGGCACAAAGCACTTCTTTCGAAGCTGCCTTCCTATGGGCTTCCCGGGAAGTTATGCAACTGGATCACTAGCTTTTTGGCAGATCGGAGCATCAAAGTCGTCGTCGACGGTGCATGCTCTGATCCTAAATTTGTCAATGCTGGTGTTCCACAAGGCTGCGTACTGTCCCCCACTTTGTTTCTTCTGCATATCAATGATATGTTGCAAATCAGCAGCGTTCATTGCTATGCGGATGATAGCACTGTGGATGTTTCGTACACAGGCCGTGTTAACATTTCTCGGGAAAACGTCTACGAGAGCCGGAACAAACTTAAGACACAAGTTTGCGCGTTAACCGCTAAAAAGTCCCCATTTGTCGTGACAACTCATTTTGAGAACACTCCCCTGTCTGTCACAGCTAGTATCGGAATACTTGGCGTCGAAATCTCGAGCAATGTCCAGTTCCGCGGTCAATTGGAAAGTAAGGCCAAATTGGCCTCAAAGAAGCTCGGTGTGCTCAGCAAGGCGAGACAGTACTTCACGTCGGCTCAACGCCTAAACCTTTATAAGGCGCAAATTCGGCCCCACATGGAGTACTGCTCTCACCTCTGGGCGGGAGCCCCCTGTTACCAGCTTCTTCCATTTGACCGCATCCAACGTAGGGCAGCTAGGGTTATCGACGATCAAGGTCTTTCCGATCAGCTTGATCCTTTGGCTATGCGTAGAGATGTTGGGTCACTCTGCATCTTCTACCGCATCTATCACGGGGAGTGTTCCGAGGAATTGTTTGGATTGATCCCAGCGGCTGAATTTCACCATCGGACATCGCGCCAAAACCTAAAATTTCATCCACACCACCTCGATGTCCAGCGTTCCACAACAGCGCGATTTTCAAGGCATTTCCTGCCTCGCACAACCACTCTGTGGAACCAGCTGCCGCCGGCGGTCTTTCCGAACCGTTACGACCTGGGAACCTTCAAGAAGAGAGCGTACTCATTCCTAAAAGGCCGGCAACGCATTTGTAAGCCCTCGGGTGTTGCAGATGTCCATGGGCGGCGGTGATCACTTACCATCAGGTGAGCCTCCAGCTCGTTTGCTGCTTTTTTCCCATAAAAAAAAAAAAAAAAAAACCACATGCTCGCTTTTTTCACATAAAAATGCGTGGGTCATTCGTAAAAATCGTTCTAGTTTTCACACGCCTAATATTATATTATAATCAGGTAAAATAATAATTATCTACGATAACTGATTATTATTTTATATCTATTCGTTCAATAACATTATATTAAAATTGAACCACCGGTCGAAGTGGAAGTCAATGGGGGAGGCCTATGTTCGTCAGTGGACGTCCTACGGCTGATATGATGATGATGATGATGATATTAACATTTTCATCTATATTAAAGTAATTAAAGGGATTTTTTTCTGTTTACGTGCATGTGATTGGTACCCCGGAACTACTATAAAGGTTGTTAAAATAACAAAATAATAAAAGTACTCGCGCACGAAGGTTTCGTACCATTATCTATAAAAACGGGGAAAATCATGTCTGTTGTATGGGATATCATCCCATACAGACCCTATCCCCATCATCAGGGGTAAATTTGTTCCCTACACATCCATAACAATTGATTCAGATTGGTATGAAACTTTGTGAGTTGCCCGGCGTTTGTACGCGTAGATTTCTAGCCCAAACGAAAACTTTCTTTGTATATACAGAGGTGAGAGTTCTCCGTAGGCGTCCGGGGTAAGATAACCTTTGTACCACAGTTCCTGCAGTATCGCGCATTTTTATACGGTGTATGAACGTGAACCTCGTGACGTGACTATATAACGTGACTATATTCGTTTTATTCGTATTCTAATCAAAATGACACTTAGGGCCGAATACTGAAACATTATCTAAATATTTAAAGGCACCTTAAAAATTTTAGCAGCTCGTAAACACTAAATTCGTCAAGTTAAGTAGTACCTAAACTCTACTCAGTGAGTAGCCTGGTATTTTAATCCGCACATAAAATTATTGAATTTTAGCGCCACAGCATTTTCGAAATCTAGCACTGGTTCCAGCTAGTAAACTTGCGTCGTATGAAGCGTGTATGTTTTAAAAGGTTTTGTTTGAAATTTTCGAATAATAAATTGGTCAAAAAAGATATAGAAAATTCCTTAGACACCACATAACTATAATCAAATTATTGCAAGTACGTAAAACACGTAACTTACTAATTTAAACTATTTAGGGACTAAAAAGCACTCGTCGTCAGGATTATTTAAATCAAAATACAAATTGAAGTACAAAATATTTTATTTCATCCATTAACATGAATTTAAAAGTAATGTTAGTGGTGTAATATACTTTATTATTTTTAACGTATATTTCTAGTAATGATGATGGTGATGGGGAACGATATGATGCGTATCGTATTTCACGTCTGCGTGGAACCTGAAAACAAAAATTACACGGAATTAAAAAAAAAACCACTTGTGTTAGAGAAATCTCGAGTAAGATTCAACCCTGGCTCACCGGTTTGTCACCGGTACATCTTTATTTTTAACCGACTTCAAAAAGGAGGAAGTTATCGACTCCGATGTTTTTTTATGTTTGTTCGGGTATAACTCCGTCGAAAATATAGACGGATTTGAAAAATTCTTGTTTGAAAGGGTTTAATTCCGAAATGGTCATATTTAAATTTAATATAAATCTGATGATGAGTTTCGGAGATAGACAATGGAACTTTTCAAAAAAATGCTATCGCATTAATATGCATTGTTTTACGCAATCACTCAACAAAAAATCACGTCTGTACACTCGAGAAAATTAAGCAGATGTATTCACTATAGCTGAGGACGCGAAAACAGCGTATTTACACAATTAATACGCTGTTTTTGTGTTCTCAAATACCAAATGTGCATTATAAGCGTCTACTTGTAATGCATACTGACAGTGGGATAAATTCGAACTGCAACTCCATCACCAAAATCTCCTATCAACAGTATTCCTTGACGTTCGGGAAGCAGTTCAAGTTGAGCCGTTGTCAATTCGCCAACGCCGTTGGTAACCATTCTAAATAAACTTATAGCCAAACGAGTGCGAATTAAACTAAGACGGTTATTGTAATTTTCTTGATTTTCGTCACTTAACCTACGTAACATATTGGATCCTTTTTTAATCATCTATTTTCACACTGGTCGACTTCAGAAATTGTTAAATTTTCTTAGATATTAAGTAGGTTAGGGTTATATAGGTTAGAATTTCAATATTTGACTATATTAGATTTAGTATTATTATAAACATTTTTGTTAATAGACGTTTTCGAAGTCTATTCTTTTTTGTTAAAAAACTTTTATAAAGAATAAACACCGCGAACAAAACGCCATAAGATCGGCAAAATGGTGCAAACTAACATGCGCGAGATAAGTTTGAAGAATACATATTCATTTCCACATTTATTTCATATTTGTAAAATGAACAAGTGGTGATAGGTCGGGTAATAATCAGAAGTTAGCCAAAAATATGTAGGAAAACCATATTAAATATAAAGGGGTTATAAGAGTTTGGTAGACAAGGCTTACGATTATTCTTCATGTAAGCTTTGCAGGTGGCATTTAGAAGACATTGTTAATACACGAATATAAGTCTTAATTGGATGCAAGAAGAGGCAGTTACTGATATGTAATACAAAAACGTCAAACAGACAACAAATAGTTTACACGAAATGTTAATAGAAAAAAAATTATAATTTTAAAGTCTTTACAAAAAGTTATGTATTATTTAACGCATATAATAAAGTTCTTACCCCTGTGATCATCTGCATAATACTCAACACGTCTGACGGAGCCGTCAGGCTGGTGCAGCGAATAGCTTCCCTTCACAGCGTCACCATCACGGTGCTCATGCTGCGACTTCATATCGCCTGTGTGGTGGTCTTCCACTTTGTACTCGAACTCGTATTTAGGGTGGGTCTGAAATGTATCCCTGTTAAGTCAACGTCATTGTAAATATTTTACAATAATTGTAAACAACCAGTAACATTACATAGTAGTCGACATGTCCATGCTCATGTCCATGCCCGTGGACATGCACGGGTTCATGGTGTCCGTCGTGGCGAGAGATATGGTTAGAAGAATATGCATGGCCATGATCATAAGCGACCACTACGGCGACTAACGCGGTCAAGCAGAACACCTGAAATAAAATTTTAGAGATTAGATTTTAGAGCAAAAATGACATAATTGCAGGAGTATGTAAAGTAAATTAACGGTTTATACAGATACTGGACAAATGCCTCCTCCGTATAAAGGGTATTAGGGCATAGGGGGCCACGGGACTTCACTGCGGTTTGGCAGACTTCATATATCTTCGACATAATTTTTTTTGTTATTATTTCGAAAATATGCAGGTTTCCCAACGATGTTTTCCTTCACCGTAGAGCACGTGATAAGTCATCATTTAAAATTGCAATTATCAATTTCATTAGTGTCAGGCACCAAGATTTGAACTCGGGTTACTCGAGAATACAGAATTAAAGTGCTATTACAACTGTATTTACTCGTATTATTTATCAGGGGTACGTAACTAATGGTAAGGAAAATGGTCGATGTGTACTGTACCTTGGAAAACATTTTCGATCTTAAGATTGTAGCACACAATTGAGCACTGATACATACAGCATGGAATTCACGTCTTATATATTAAAAGTAATAGAAATCAATGAAGGCTAAACCAATTTCACACACCGCTAGCGGTTTTCACGAACAGAACATTACGTGTTTAATTACTAAATTATGCATGTGACAGCGCATGTACCAATCAAACGCCAAAAGAATATTATGGTTCAATATGGAATTGATTTCAAAATGGAAATTTTTAAATTTTAGGTATATTAGTGTTAGTCGAGTAGACTACATATAATATATTTTTTTATGTGAAAAGTTAACAAACGACCAGACTGTTAAACTGATGTTAAGTGAATACCGCTGTCTATGGACATCTTTTTTTTTTTTTTTTTTAACGATGGGAAATGCATCATGCATACTCTCCTTAGGGGCAGCAAGGAGAGTTATGTTGGACTCCCGCTCTGAGAAGGGCAGACCTACCAACTAAAACCCATCGGGTGTCCTCCTCTGCCGTCAAATGCTGGATTGCAGGGCCCGCTTAAGCGATTCTGCTGCAACCCAGCCACGGCTACCCCGACCTTGCACAGGGCTGGGGCACACCACGAAGGGACTTTTGTCCCCGTTCTCCGCATGAGTGCCCATGACACCAGTGGGCACTTAGTCTTCGCGGGGCCTCATACCGTTAGGTGACAGACGTCCCCACGTCTGTCACCCGGAGGCCCATTAGGGCGGGAGACGGCGCTCGTGTGCCGCCCGCCTTCTCCCCATGCGACGTCGCCGGATCGGGTCGGAAGAAGCATTCTCCTCCCTCTCCCTTTCGGCGGCCTCCTTCTGTAAAACGACTGTCTCGCAGAAGGAGGCCATCGCCCTCCACGCCGCCCTGCTGTCGACCATTGTTCTAAAGATGGCCGGCAGCGAGAGATCCGACCCGACGACGTCACGGAGCCGCCCTCGCGGCTCCTCCCACGCCGGGCATTCCGTCATCGTGTGCTGCGCCGTATCGTCGGCGCAGGCACAATGGTGGCACCTTTGGCTCGGTTCCCTCCCGATAGCGTGCAGGTAATGACCGAAGCATCCATGCCCAGTCATCACCTGCACCATCCGGAATGACAAACTGCCATTTCGGGAACCGATCCACTTCTCCAGGACAGGCCTAATGGCCTGTGCCACTCTATGTCCGGCAGTGGGAGCCGCCAAACGTTCCTGCCAGGTGCGCATCAAAATGATGCGCGCCTGGCGTCGCCACCTTGCGATTCGTTCGGTGGAAACGTTATCGCCGCACCCCTTCGCCTCAGCGACTCGGCGATATACCTCCGCGAGGACTTTAGCCTCTAAGTCCCATGGTGGGGATCCCGCCAAAGCACACGCCGCCTCGCCGGCCACTGTGCGGTAGCCGCGTATAGCCCTGAGTGCCATGGCGCGCTGCGGTCGTCGCAGCAACGCTCTATTCGTGGCACTCAAGGCATCCACCCACACAGGAGCTCCGTAGAGGGCCATCGATCTGATGACCCCCATGTACAGGCGGCGGCAGACCGACCCTGGTCCCCCCACATTAGGCAAGAGGCGTCCAAGAGCAGCGGATGCCTTTAACAGATTCGGTGTCAGCCGGCGAAAGTGAGCGGCGAACGTCCACCGTCCGTCTAGGACGAGTCCGAGATACTTCATCTCGGACTCGACCCGGACCTCCACTTCTCCGATCCGGAGTGGTGTGCCTGCAGCCAGCCTCCTTCTAGGTCCATGGAAAAATAGGGCCTTGGTTTTCTCAAGGGCCACCCGTAGGCCTTGAGCTCTGATGCGGGACACCACTAGTCCCACACCGACCACCGCCAGCTGGGTCGCCTCCTGATGCGTCGCGCCGCGGGCAAGAACGAGTGTGTCGTCAGCATAGCAGACAACACGAAGCCCGCGCAGCAGGGCACCACGGAGTACCCTGTCGTAGCCGATGTTCCACAGGAGTGGGCCAAGGACCGATCCCTGTGGAACACCGCACCACGTTTCCCTCTGTACGAGGACGCCATCGCGCCCTACACACACAACGCTCCTTCCCCGTAGGTACGCCACAATAAATGCACGCAGGTACCGGGGGAGTCGGTGGTATCGGAGGCCCTCCTCGATGGTAGCGAACGGCAGGGTATTGAATGCGTTTGCGATGTCAAGACGACACCGCCAACACCACGTTGCCGTTTGCCGCCTGCTCCTCCGCATACCCCTTGACACACAATATGGCGTCTATTGTGGAGCGCGATGGTCGGAACCCGTATTGGACGTCGGACAGGTCAGGACCCTCGCGCATCATATGACGTATGATGCGCGAGGCGACCACCCTCTCCAACAGCTTACCGGCCTCGTCCAACAGGATGATTGGCCGGTAAGCCGAGGGCGATTCTTCAGGGCGTCCCTCCGTACGAAGGAGAAACAACCATGCCCGCCTTCCAACACTGCGGGAACTCTCCACGCCGAAGACAAGCGGTGAAAAGCTCCCTCAAGCGTTCCTCTAGGGGCCCCAAGGCCAAGACCAGAGCCCTGCCGGGCACACCATCGGGGCCAGGGGCCGTTTTGCGCCCACGAAGCCGCAGAAGTGCGGCTCCCATCTCACCCTCGGATACCAGAGGCACCTCCTCGGTGGTTTCCGGCTCAGGCACCGGTGGGATAACGCCAGTTGGGGCCGGGAACAACGCCTCCAGCACCGTGGCCAGCCGTTCCGGTGAAATAGATTCAGCAGGCGGCGGACCCCGACCAAGCTTGCCCCTGGTTGCTCGGTATGGACGACCCCAGGGATCGCGATCCAAGCCCGCGAGGAGCTCACCCCAGGCAGTGTCTTTGGCCCTCAGGATGGCCAGCTGCAAGGATTTTTTGGCGTCGTGATACGCCCTCTGCAGATGGTCATTCAGTTCCTCATTTCGCGGCCGCCGCCGCCGCTGTCGTTGGAACTTCCGGCGGGCGGCGACACAGCGTCGCCGAAGATCCGCAATGTCAGGTGACCACCAGTACACCTGCCTCTTTTGAGGTCTTTGCCGCACGCGGACCATGCAGGCATCGCAGACCCTGGTGATCGCGCTGCGGAAACACATCGCCTCCTCGTCCGTCGTACCCGGAGGCGGGGAGCTCCAGGACTCGACGATGGCGGCCTCCTTCAGCAGGTCAACGTCCAACCCCGCGAGGGCCCATCGCGGAAACGTTGAGGCCATCGCAGGGAAGGCGGGGACCAACTGCATCCCTCTGGAGGAGGAGACGCTGAAGCGGATATATAAGTGATCCGACAGCGTCTCCACCTCCCCCATAACTCGCCAATCTCGTACTGCCTGAGCAACCGCCGGGCTCGCAAAGGAAAGGTCTACAATGGACCCCCCTTGGACCCGAACACAGGTTTGTGATGTGCCGCAGTTGAGAAGTGCCAACCCAGATTCCGTGGCCCAGTCTTCAACCGCAATCCCCCGCACGTCTGTGGCAGGCGATCCCCAAGCCGTATTCTTGGCATTAAAGTCGCCCGCCACAATTACCGGTCGAGGTGCAACTCGCCTAATGGCCGCCTGCATATCACCGAGGAGCGTCTCGAGTTCAGCGAGGGTTTTGTTTGGGGAAAAATACACCGAGAATATTGTGTATTTCCCCCAGTCGGCCGCCACAAAACCATTTCCCCTCTCTTTGACGGAAAGGGGCGTGGTACCATCTGGAACATAGATGGCCGCCGTGCCCGTAGCATCCCCTATCCAGTTGGCGGGTATGCAATAAGGCTCCGCTACCACCGCCAGTCCAATTTGCCATTGCGCCAGTGCCTGGAATAATAGATCCTGGGCACCGGCGCAATGGTTTAGGTTTATCTGGAGGAAATGTCTATCCCTATCCATTATTAGAGTCGACACACATTTCCTCTTGTCGGGACGAATCCCGATCCACCTGCTGGGATGCCGGGGTCCTGCCGGCTTTTTTCCCTTTTTTTCGGTGGGGAGCAACCCTTAGCCCCCACCGAGTGCTCAGCTGACCTACCTGCAACTGCGCATACTGCGCAGTGGGGTTTGGCTAAGCATGCCGCTGCTTTGTGTCCAGGAGCACTGCAGCGATAACAAATATCGCTGCGGTCCACCTCCGAAGTGCACTGGAGTCGCGTGTGCCCGATTTCTAGGCATCGGAAGCACTTCATAGGGCGCGGCTCCAGGGACTCGACGTGCACATAGCTCCAGCCAATCCTCATACTCCGAGCTGACACCAGGACCTTAGCAGCTGCCACTGGACATTGCACCCAGATGCAGCCAGTGCCCCGGCGGCCCTCCCGAATTTCGCCCGCCTTGACGTGGTCAAGGGGACAGGCGGCTGCAGCGACAATCGCAGCGAGCACCTCATCCCTGGTGACGGAATCATCCAGGCCAGTAAGACGCAAATCCGCGCACTTCACCGGCCACATATACACACCCAAACACATACACATACACACACACAAATACCCACACAACATCTCCAACTGGAGCCACCAGAAGGGTCGTTGAAGTGAGTCGCTGGTTGCGGAACGAGGAGTTGGCGAAATCTCCTCCGACGGTGGCGTCAGACGCACTGAGATTAGTCAGCGCGCCGACCCGTCCTCCTAGGCCCTATCCGATGTGTTCTCTGCTGATGAGAGAATCACACGGAGAGCCCCTCCTTGTGCTGCTCTTCGTCTGGTCCCTCGCTCCGAGCCTGTCCGGTATGGGAGACCCTATCCGGCATAGCCTTGGAGGTCATTAGGACACGCAAGCCCCTCCACCACAACAAGGTGGCAGCACGACGGGGGGGTCTATGGACATCTGCTTCAACTAAGGATTCCAGATGTGTTGACAAACTTTTGAGAGTTGGGCTTCGGTCACCTTACTCACCAGACGAAACGCAAAAGTATTATACTTCCACTTTACGCCGGTCTTATGTGAGGTCGTGGTATTTACCCAGACGAGCCTGCCCATTCGTGCAACAGCCGAGGGTGCTGCGTGGCCGTACCTGTTGTTTATAACCGGTGTTCATGATCTAATTTCGCATCTTAGAGGCGTGCGTGAAAAAGATTCACATATGTATGATGTCATTAAAACAATAAAGTTACCTGTACAGCCGCATTGACAAAATGAAAATTTGAATGAAATTATTTTTTGACACAATGTGCCTTTCATAAAGTTTTCTTTGAAACCGATTGGCAGCTTAGACACATGTACAGTCTTCATAATTTTTCTAATAGCCATGAGTGTATTTAAAACTTTAATAAACTGAATGATCAAATAGTTCAAACATAATATTGTACACATTTTCATTGTTATGGGCCCCATTAGTCGCACAAGATTTTCATTTATCTTGAAAATACTTACTCAATCCCCATGTGGTATTCACACTTACCCAAATTGCTGGAATATTGTTACTCTTTATTATACTTCATAAATGCTGTCATTTATCAGCATATTTAAGTTAGTTACAATATTTAAAACTGTGGTAGGGGCACGCCATGGTGTTTACTATTGCACGAATGGGCAGTTCCATCCAGGTAAGTACCACGACCTCACTGAAGATGGGCGTAAAGAAGAAGTGTTACACTTCTGCGTTTCTTTTGGTGAGTGCGGTAGCCGGAGCCCACTTTATTTAAAGGTGGCAACGCTTTTGCAACCCTACGGGTGTTCCAAATGTCTATGGGCGGCGGTTCTCACTTAACTTCAGGTTAACTGCCAGCTCATTTGCCACTTTGTCACATAATTAATATATATAATAATAATTAAAATAAATGAAAAGCGTTCGGTGATAATGATTCGAGGAACATGGTTTTTGTTCACCCAAAAAGTGCTCAACGCGCCTAAAGAAGTTTTCACTTAAAAATTTCATTGAACTCTTCTATTGTGAGTCTTAAACAAAGTCAAATAGCTATATACTGACCACTTTGTAAATTAAATTTCATACATTTTTGTTTGTACTAATTAAAATATAAAGTTAAAGTACCTCTACTTTACCAAAAATCTAGTCGAGAGGTACTTAACTAACGTATTAAGAGCTGTATTAACTACAGTTATTGATTTACAGTTTTGTTTATTTCATGCGTAGATTGTCCGTGAACGTCATAATTAAAATTTTAATTGGCAACTCTAATAATCCAAATTATAATTGTATGATGTACTTAACTGTATGTAATGAAAATGTTAATTGTATTTGTTCGTCTTACGTGGAAACAAGAAACAAATTCATATTTTGTAACATAAGTATATAACTAATGATTTAATTTTAACTAAACAGAATCTGTATGTTCCTCCTATTACAGGATAAAATAACCGTGAACGGGAGAAAATATTTTGTTTGTATCATTAATATGCACCTAGAAATATTCGTTGGTGGTAATTTGTTTTTCAGGTTTCAAGCCAATGTCAAATACAGCATCCATTATATTGTGCCTCACCGTCACCATCATTAAAATGCCTTTCTTTATTACGTATTGTACCTTAATTAATCACTTAATTTCTTTTAATTTAAGCCTATTGTTATTATTGTTTATATCGCATTTAATTTGTCTACAGCTATCCGTACATTATTTTCATCAACCAATTACTCTGAGATTTGCCACCTTTAAGTATCCATAATACTTTCTAGTTAAATCAGCAATTATTAATTTTTCTCTACCGTTATTTAGTAACCTAAATATTTCCTAAGCAGCCTGCGTGTAAAAATTTGTTTAATCACATATATCTCAAAATTGGACTTTAACGAAGTAGTTATAAGGAAATTCAATTTAAGCAGTTGGGTTATGTTAGTAAGGGGCGGAGGGGTGAAAATGGAAACCAATGGGGAGAATGGCGAATGGAGAATGGAAACAATGGAAACCATATGTGATCAAATGAAATGCATAAAAATGTTAATTCGCTAGTAGGTAGCGTCCTTAATATCTGGCATTCTAGTTAATTATTTAACTAATGAAGGGTAACGGCCTTCATACCCGACCACTAGTTAAATCAAAGAAAAACTGAGTTAGTGGCGGCCTTATTAATTTTAACTGTGTTTACGGGATATTGAATCAATTTATTAAGTATTTTATGAACTCATCTTTAAACTTGTATGTTGATTGGACCGTATTTTAATAATTCATTATTTTGTATATTATAGACGAGTACATTTGCTGCTAATACAATCCGATATCCAACTTTAAGTATTATTTGAGAAATACTGAAATTAGATTTTAATGCTCGACGTTGAACCACATTAATTTTTAAAGAAAATTAGAGTGATTTATATTACCCAATTATTATTTCATCAACTCGAATATGGCTTGTTTCTGTGATAAAATGAAATTTTGACAGGAAGAAATATACTTGCTCTTTTGTCATATTTTTTCAATAATTCGACCGTTATAAGAAGCCACCAATAAAACTCCTGCTAGATTTTTTATAAAGATCGAAGATTTTGGAAATATTCCGGTTTTCACGGTTCACGATATTTTTCATCACCGCTGAGCGTGCGATAATTCAGCACTCATCTGTGAAACTTTCAACTGTCTAACTGTCTAACTGTCACGGTCCGGTAACATTATTCATGAGAAACAGCCTGCTGACAGACGGACAGACAGAAAGGGAAGTCTTAGTAATAGGGTCCCGTTTTACCCTTTAGTAGATACGGGACCCTAATTGTTGATTTACTTAAGAATAAAATATTCATCTCCTAACCTGCAATTGTAACGTTCATGAGCCATAATTCGTAAGTTGTAAATTCATAAAAATGTTTACGGGAAACTATATTCTCTACGATAATGGTTTCTGTAACCTTTTCACATAAAGTGCAAATTTTCCAAGACATCATCCAAAAACGTTTTGTCAAGATTGCGTGTGGAACTCCACCGGAATATATCAGCATTTTATACTCCTTAACCTTATAGAAAACAATAATTGGATTGATAATTTTGTTTTTTTTTATGTAAAAAGTTGACTAGCGAGCAGGCGGTTCACCTGATGTTAACTGAATACCGCCGCCCATGGACACCTGAGGGTTAAAGATGCGTTGACAACCTTATGAAAATTGGGCTCCGGCTACCTCACTCACCAGACGAAACGCGAAATTATTTGTCATAGTTCCATTTACGCTAGGCTTCTGTGAGGTCGTGGTACTTACCCGGACGAGTCTGTCCATTCGTGCAACAGCCGAGGCTGCTGCGTGACCCTACGACAGTTAGAAAGGTAGTTCGAAGTTTACCGAAAAAAGTCAACTTTCATGGAATATTAGCACAAGATTCATAAATACTGATCATAAATGTATGGTTGATTGTTTTGCGAGCATAAAAGAACTATATTAAATGATAAAGTTTTACACTTTCATTATTATATCACATCTTGATGTCAATAATGCATGTCAAATCAATTTCTAAAATGGTAGAATGATAATTCTACCATTGTAATAAATATGGGAAGAAAAAAAAAAACCTTTTCACATAAAGTGCAAATTTTCCAAGACATCATCCAAAAACGTTTTGTCAAGATTGCGTGTGGAACTCCACCGGAATATATCAGCATTTTATACTCCTTAACCTTATAGAAAACAATAATTGGATTGATAATTTTGTTTTTTTTTATGTAAAAAGTTGACTAGCGAGCAGGCGGTTCACCTGATGTTAACTGAATACCGCCGCCCATGGACACCTGAGGGTTAAAGATGCGTTGACAACCTTATGAAAATTGGGCTCCGGCTACCTCACTCACCAGACGAAACGCGAAATTATTTGTCATAGTTCCATTTACGCTAGGCTTCTGTGAGGTCGTGGTACTTACCCGGACGAGTCTGTCCATTCGTGCAACAGCCGAGGCTGCTGCGTGACCCTACGACAGTTAGAAAGTAGTTCGAAGTTTACCGAAAAAGTCAACTTTCATGGAATATTAGCACAAGATTCATAAATACTGATCATAAATGTATGGTTGATTGTTTTGCGAGCATAAAAGAACTATATTAAATGATAAAGTTTTACACTTTCATTATTATATCACATCTTGATGTCAATAATGCATGTCAAATCAATTTCTAAAATGGTAGAATGATAATTCTACCATTGTAATAAATATGGGAAGAAAAAAAAAAACAACATATGAAGGTTAATTTGTTTATTCACAATAATAGGCACAGTCAAATAGTCAAGCTAACAGAATGTTTCAATTAGTAATGGTGATGCTTGGGAACTATGTGATGGGTGCTGTGTTTTACGTCTGCGTGAAAACTGAAAAAAGAAGAAAAATATTCTATAAGTTAAGAAAAACAATGTTAACATACAAAAATTCCCAAAATGGGCTTATTCACACCGTGCATTAGGTTTTCAAAGTGTTTAATAGCTATTTATTTTCTAGAGATGAAGTCTGTTGGGCCATAGAGAGATTACTCATAGTCCAAGATTGCCCTAGATTACTCATAGTAACTTATGATCATATAAAACACGATGGAGTACAAGGCTCTTACCCGCTATGATCATCACCGTAGTACTCGACATGTCTGACGGAACCGTCAGGCTCGTGTAGGGAGTAACCACCTTTCACGACGTCTCCGTCCCGGTACTCGTGCTGCGATTTTATATCACCAGTGTGGTGATCTTCTATTTTATACTCAAAATCGTATTTGGGATGCGTCTAAAAGAAAAGTCAATGATAATTGTGCAGTTTCGTTAAAAATTAAAGTTGAATTTGTTTACTTTTTTGAAAATATCACATATTTTCTTTTCCTATATCTGAACGTAATAATGGCAAATGGTAAAAGCCACAATATAGACGTACTTTTAACAGTCACAAAAGTTGTAATAATATTTTCTGGGGTCTGTAAATCAGCTGTGTAATTCTCAAGTGAGAAGGAGAACTACTCTGAAACCTATTTAGACTCGAAAATAGCGAACTTTGGTACAAAAATAAAAACAGCACTAAGTAACATATTTAATAATATAACATTATACTTTTAAAAATCCACGGAGATGTTTAAATGTTAAAAGAAATTTCTTACGTAATAATCGTGGCCATGGCCATGATCGTGATGCACTTCGTGGTGATGTCCGTCATGTCGCGAGATGTGATTCGACGAAAACGCATGTCCGTACCCGTGAACATGCGCAACCGTCATCAATGTGACAGTCAATGCAAAGATCTGAAATTGAAACACAAAACTGTTTTACATAATTACTTTAAAGAATATCTGCGACAGCTTACATTTATTCTTTTGTTAAAATATTTTAATAAACAACTATAAACAATCAAAAATATAAAAAGTTTATAGCACCTTTGAACACATTTCTGTGATATTTTTCTGTTGTAGTCACTGAATAAAGCTATAGGGGATACTGTTATGTTGTGCAGCAAATTCAAGTCTTTTATATCGTTTCTGCCGCTGATTTATCAACACTAATTGTTATCGTAGCACGTTAATAGATTAATAGGTGCTAGGCTCTCTTGAAATTTCGTGATCAAAGGTAATTTAAAGAATCCGGCGGTAATGCAATCTATAAATGTGCTTACGAGAAAATGCTGAAAATTACCCACATAAACATTTAATTCGAGCAATCTTGTTTTTTAACAGAGACAGCCTGTAACTCGTATATGTCTATTATTAAATTTGTAAAGGTGTAACCTGCCACAAGACGTTAAAAAGATCTGACGGATCTTCTATATTGCATAATTAAACGTTTTACGTCAAATGCTTTTTTAAAAATAATCAATGATTTTTTTTTCATCAAAAATGAAGAGGAAATCTGAACATTAACTATATTTTATTATAATATGATGACTCTGTGGCGCAGTTGCCAAGGTATTGGCTTCGGCGTCGGGGGTCGTGGGTTCGATTCCCACACGGGACAATTTTTTTGTGCGACCCACAGGTAGTTGTTTCGTATCTGGGTATTTGTCCACGTGGAATTAATGTTTGTAAAAACGTTCTTACAACACAGGATAATGTTATCCTGTGTTGTAAGAACGTTTTTACATTGTTGAAACAATGTTGTTAAGTGAGGGCAATGTTTTTTAAAAAAGAAATATAAATATATTTCTTTTTTTATTTTAATTTTTTTTTCTAATAATTATTCTGAATAATTATTCCCGAACCGGAATTTAGGGTTATTGTTACAAATTTACGAAAAAATAGAGACAAATAAAATAGCAAAAATTGCCCTTATGCAACTTAGGTATCTCAGATTACGAGTACATGTGAATATTATCATCCTCCAGCCCGTATCCGATTTAAGGCCCATTTACACGATGCCATTTTCTTGTACATACAAAAGCAATAATTGAATGCAATAAGTTGCACGCAATAATTGACCATCAAGAATTGTAAGCAACAGTTTACACGCAGATATAGTAAAAAAAATTGAATGCGATTATTGTATGCAAGTCTTGACAGGAAATAATTGCAAAGGTCTTTTGTTTACACCAATGCAATTATGTTTAGGCGATTATTGCTTTCAAGTTTTGACTTGTCTAAACACATGCTTGTATGTGCGTGTACAATTTATTGGCGTGTTGCTTCAAGTATTGCACGTATTTGCGTTGACAAATTTTTCATGCAATTGTTGAACAATTGTTTACACCAAGCAAAGTTTTGAAACAAAACTTGAAGCAAGTCTTGTTCAACAGGCAAGAATGTTATGTGCTGTTTAGACCATGCAACTCATTTATTGCTTCAATTTAATTGTATACTACAGGCAAGAAACTTGCACCGTGTAAATGGGCCTTTAGGTGGAGTCCACACAATATGTGAATCATGTTGTAAGTGATTTTGGCTATGTGTTTACGACTGGCCTTTGACCCTGCTTGGAAGAACCTAGATCCAGAACATTTATCTCTGGGGCACACTAATCTCCATGTGGGAATCGAACCCATAAACGTCGGCGCAAAAGCCAGTAGCTTAGCAACTCCTTCGCTGAATCATATACAATCGATCGTCAATTTTAGTTAACTCCGTAAGGACACAACTGAAGAGGGCTCATGTTGCCAAAAATCAGAGATAATATGGGAAAAGCTAATGCTTTCTTGAAGCATGCTCATGCGTAGTACAGAGTGACACTGATGCTTTCCGTAGGAGATCGCAAAGCCCTGCTCAATGTATTAAGAATGCCCACCCCGTGTAACAATAACCATGTCTGTAAATGCAGGATACAGGATATCTTTTGATAAGCCGGTAAGAAAAAAAGGGAAACCTAAACTAAATTTATAGGCTTATATTATAAAAATACTAAGAATGTTGCATTTTTATTAAGATGTAGATGTAGAGTACGCGAAATATGTAAAGAAAGACCGTCTTTGGGATCTATTAGAAAAATAATTGCTCATATTTTTGTGGATATTAGTGATAAGGATTAGTTTTATAATTTAACTTTGCTAGCATATACAAAGTACTTTATATTGTGAACAAAAGAGTAGTAAATAGTCGTATCACAATGTAGTTAAAATAAATATATGTCGGAAAATCAAGATATGGCACCATAATTGGATTACAACAGCATCTATTGGTAGCTCTCGGAAACGTCAAGTAAGGTCGATACAGGAAGTGAGAGAGCGGACCTGACGGTTATGAGTTATGGAAGTCAATTGATATCTGACACAGGGATGTGTTCTGAACGTGCTCGGGGATGTCACTTAGACAAAGGGACAGCGGTGTGAAGGGTCACCTTCCAGTATCGAACTTGCTGCGTTTCCATGCAATAACACCGCCGTGGTTAATAGTTATTTTGATTATTGTTGATTTTAATCGAACAAGTAAACTACAGTGCTACGTGATGACTTTCATTTTGCGCGTACAACATGTCCGATGAGGGATCTGTCAGTGAGTTTTCCTATGTGATCCACCTATCCCCGAAATATATTTATTTATCTTCGCAACAGCTCAGGGCCTGGACGCTCGATTTTAATTCACTATACTCTAGCAACTTGACTTTAAATCCCCGTGCCAGGAATATTGGAAATTGTTAATTTTAAGTGCTCAGCACGTGATAATGCTCAGCAGTAAAAGTAAACATCGTAAGGAAACCTGCATATTTTTAAATAATAACTAGAAAAAAAAAATTCGAAGATATGTGAAACCTATCAATCTACAGTTGGGTCACGTGATGAATAGTGCCCTTATTACCCTCTAAACAGAAGAGGCCTTTGCCATTCAGTTCGACTTGTATAGGCTGTTTACTTTACTTTTTATCTTCGCAAAAATATGTCCAGAAAATAAGCCTTTCCTCAGTTGCAGAATAAATATTTGTTATCTGTTCTAGAAGAAAGCAATTTGTATAATACTTGGGTTCATGTGGTAATCGAATACATCTATTACCTATAAAGTAGTAGTACCTGGAGGACCGGGTATTTTGGAAATTACATTTATATACAAATTTCTGAGTAATGAAATATGCCTAATATTTTTTGATCTTACCGACCTAATAATAAGAAAATATGAAGTGGTGTTTTTCACAAAACAACTTAAAAAGAGGGAAAAAAATAACAAAATCATCTGGATCAACAAAAAATAAAAAATAAAGAAAGCAATCTGGAATCGAAAAAAGAGTAAAAAAGAGTGTGTAAATGATCGTGATACGAACCGCGGCCGTCTGTTTTGGGGCCGCCCGATTACCGACTACCAAGCTATTATAACATTTTTTTAGAAATTTACTGTCATATTCGAATCTTATTTTTATCCCTGAAAACAGGGATAAAAGGACATTTTATAAAAATGAAATCTAGCTGGATCGATTTTTCGCCCCCGAATCTACGCACATACAAAATTTCATGAAAATCGCTGGAGCCGTTTCCGATATATATATATATATATATATATAAATAAAATATACATGTGTACTCTATTATTAGTCGCTTGAAGTCTAGATGTACGTAGTCCTTAATTTCATGGTTTTCAAACCTCCCACAATACTGCAATAATTTCCGAGTACTGCAGTAGCTTCTTTATAAAAAAAAGAGAGAGCTTTCTAGTTTTTAGGATGAAGATTTTTAAAAACTACTTTAAATAAAAAAAATCCAAACTTGAACATTCCATTCCTTTTACTTCAATTGCGTATTTCTAATGTTTTCTTTGTTTTTGAAAAGTACAATCAATAAAATATCTCAGTAATATTTATGAATTGACCAGCGACTATTGACAAATGCAGTCCTGTAACTCTTTGTTTCTGTAGCCTTCTAGATTCATCTCTTAATTTCTTCTACCTTAATAAATTGTTATGTCGCGGTATACAGTTCCTTGGCAGACTTATCCTTTCCTGGGTATTATACGAGATTAATTATACAAACGAACGGAGAGGAAAAAGATGCAGTCATCCCTCAACTTATTTTTTTCTTTATCTAATTACATAAACTTTACTTGTATATAAATACAGATATAACCTCTTTCATATGTACTCGTAATTTCACGAGGATGGTAGAGCAATAATAGGGGTTATACAAATGGGTTTATAGCTATGTACAAATTGAAACCCATCAAGTATAAGAACTAAAATAATTAAATGGCAAAACATTTTAAATGATTTAACGTTTATTACTTCATAATGTATACACGTATGAACGACTACAGTCGAAACATGTGAGAACATATAAACAGGTACATTTTAGTAATGGTGATAATGATGCGGTACAATATGATGGGTGTGGTACTTCACATCAGCGTGAAAACTGAAAAAAGGTAAAGAAGAATTACAACTATGACTAATTTAGATATCAGAATGAGATAGAGTTTGTTTCACATTTATGTCCTAAAATTTCTTACCCGCTGTGGTGGTCGCCGTGATAATCGACATGTCTCACGGAGCCGTCGTGCTGGTGCAGCGAGTAAACGCCTTTCACAGCATCTCCATCGCGGTGTTCATGCTGGGACTTTATGTCACCCGTATGATGATCCTCCACTTTGTAATCGAACTCGTATTTCGGATGAGTCTGTGGCAGTTTTTTTAAATTTAAATAGATGTTCAGCGGGCAGTCGGTTAAGCTGAGTTTAACCCATTATTTCCCAAGGACATCTTCAACTCTTGAAGATATACAGATATGGGGAGGTGACAACCCTTAAGGAAGTGAGCCCCGCGGAAGTGGAAAGTTACATCAATCACAAGGCGAAACGCGAAAGTATAATATTACCGCTTCACGTCGTGCTTTTTCCCCGGACGGCATGGCCATAAGTGCTACAGCAGAAGTTGTTTCGTGGGTCCAACAAAGATATTATTATATAGACTACACATCGGATTACAAGTAGAGTTTGATTGTAAAAAATACGAACGTAGTAATCATGATCGTGACCATGGTCGTGGTGCACTGTATGGTGATGTCCATCATGGCGCGAGATGTGATTTGAAGAATACGCATGACCATTGACATATGTAACCATCATCAACGTGACAGTCATAACAGCCACCTGTAAATAAAAAAAAATATTATACCAAGCTCCATGCGCATTAATGATCACTTTATAGATCGTGCACTATACCTTTGAAAACATTTTTAATACTGTATGGTAATTGGTGTTCCAAGCAGTTCACTGACTGTACTGATACGATGTTATGTACACGTGAGTCTTTTATATCGTTTAGGAGAAATTCTAACGCCGCTAATGGCTGCTGTAACACATTCAGATTAATTGTATCGGATTTTTTCTCTTTGATTTCGTGATAAACGGTAGTTTAAAATTTCCGCTGTTCATAAATTTTTTAATGAAATATTTGCTTACGTTAATTGTATTTTACATACAATGTACACAAAAGTAACGCAAATGTCAAAGTAAAGTGTCGCCAGAACCTCTTTTGAATATTCTTTTCTTTGCATCAATGAAAACAAATGTTATATTGTGTAAACCTCTTGCGAACTATGGTTAAGTATGTCTGTATTTATTATTCATATATTAAGTCCTTATATTTCTTTATTAAAGTATTAACTAATAGTAAATTAACTATCTTAAGAATTGCAATTTAAAATAAAAACATACGATTAAAAATATATCGATATAATTTTTTTTTGACATTGAACAATAGTCTTAAACGAAATCTAAGAACTTTTACTATGTTAAAAATTAATTCATTTCATTTGTTTATAAAGTAAACTAGCTGACCCGGCAAACGCTGTTTTGCCATATAAATTATTTGTAGGGTAGAAAAAAAATGTTTGGGGTGTGTTGTGGTTTGATGATGGTTTGGAAATGAAGGTTTTAATACTATGAAAAAAAAAAGAACGAAGTCTGTCCGGGCAGCCAGTTTAATATAAGGGAGTGGGTTCAATTCCCACACGGAATAATTATTTGTGTGGCTTTGGAAATATTTTAAGCATAAAATGTTTTACTTGTGAATGTGTGTGATGTTCTAATAAATAATTAATTAAATAATTTAAATATACAACATTAAATGAAACTATTTTTACTTATTTATGGCGTTTATTTCAACCTATAATTAGCAATATTTGTGATCACGGGATGAATTAAGGCCCTCTAATTATCCCGTTAACCAATGCTATTGTTTTTAAAATTATTACGATAAATTTTTGTTCCTTTCACAAAGTTTATTAAATATTGAAGTGATGATATAATTTTATTAATTATAGGATATACCAAGCTGACGGTAGCACCCAACCCTTTTTTCTGTTGAAGTTACGATACTTTTTAATTTCAGTAACATCGCGAGACATCCTTGAGAGGCATCGTTGTTCTTTTGCAAGGAGTGTATCAAATCTAATGGGAGGGTTTTGTTTTTTTTAATATGGTCGCAGATTGTAAAATCGTCATTTTTTTTTACTATCATAGAGCTGACATAAAACACAAAAGAAAGAATAGGTTTAAGCCTTTGCGAGGGTTTTATTATTTACGTCAGCTAGATATTTTTCATCACAAAGATTTTTATTGATCTTTTTCTTTATCCTTTATAATTAGTTCAGAGTCAATTTTGTATAGGTAGCTACTTGTATATCTTGTCGAGGGATATTGCATTTTATGCATGATAAAACTGACTGATGTTTTACACATTCCGCTTCGTGCTTCCACACGGAACGGACGTTAATCTGAGCCGGAGGGCCCATGCCAACCGCCCCGGAAGCCATCTTGCAACCGTTGTTGCTAATATCATTTCTTTTATCTCTTGGTGTGCACTGCTTGCCTCATCGTTGTCGTGTTTCGCGGTCTATGGTTAGGGAAGTCTCAAGCAAGAAGAAAGAAGAAACATTATAGAAGAAAGAAAAAACATTATAGAAGAAAGAAGAAACTTTGCCCGACTTCCGAGCGGATAGTGTTAGTGTAGTGTTGTGCTCGTAGGCAGGTTCCTGTCCGTAAGTAGAATTCTACACACATTTCTCGTCTCAGAGGCGGCATTGTAATTTTACCTGTGTGCTTGTTGCATTAGGCGACCGCTATGTACTCACCCTAGCGCACCTAAAGCGCAGGCGACTAAAGGTTAATTTTAGGCACACACCTCCCTGCCGCAAGGTGGGGAGGCCTAATTAGAAAACCACACGCCGGCGGGGCGCAAGCCCCAAGGGCTCAAGCGTCGACATGGGTTCCCTCATAGAGGAATTCCTGCGTCAAGAATGCCCTGAATTATGGGTAAAATATTTGAATTTCGCGAGGGAACGACGCATCGTCGTCGAATTTTCTAGCGACAGTCCGGCTTCACCGGCTGCCGCCTCGCCGCCAGCTCCGGTGCCCTCTGCGCCAGTCATCGAGTCGCCCTCTGCGACAATTGATACGCCCGTCGCGTCGACTTCCGCCGCCGCGAACGAACCCAACGCGCCTTCCGCGCAAACCATTTCGGCCTCCTTCCGCGCTGTCGTTCCCGACTCACAATCGGACAGCGGCTAAGACATGGAGGTCGAAACGACCCCCGCTAACAACGCGAACGCCGACGGCTTCACCGTCGTCAAATCGCGAAAAAAGGGCAAGAAACGCCCCGCTACCGACAGCGACCCCCGAAAGCGAGGCCGCCCCGTCAAACCGTCCCACCGCGACGCCCGCCAAAAAGGCAGCCGCGTCTGCCCAGTCGGAACCGACATTCGCCTCCGAGCGAAAAACCAAGCCACCGCCGCCAATAATAATACAAGATAAGGCAAAGTGGCAACAGGTTTGTTCGTGGTTTGAACGCCACAAGATCCGAGACCCCCGGTCCAAGAATACGCATAGGGGTATCCGCGTATACCTCGATTCTTCGGACGATTTCCGTCGCGTAACTAAGTACTTGCGCGAAGCTAAGGTAGGTTTCCACACCTACTCACTACCCGAAGAGCGTAAACTTCGGGTCGTAATTAAGGGCGTCCCAAAAGAGTCGGATGTTGATATGGCTAAGGTCGACATCCGCACTCAGGGATACCCGGTTCACGCCGTGCGTCGTCTCAGGCACCCTCGCACCCGTGTCCCTATGGACATGGTCATGGTGGAACTTGACCCTACCCCGGAAGGTAAGGCCATTTTCAACCTTAAGAGGGTCTGTGGGCTCAGTGACTTAGTCATCGAGCCCCCACGTAAATCAGGTGTTGTGGCACAGTGCCACAACTGTCAACATTTTGGCCACACGGCCAATAACTGCTTCGCTCACCCAAGGTGCGTCAAATGCACCGGTGACCACGGCACAACCGAGTGCACGAGGCCGAAAGATTGCGCTGATCCACCGGACTGCGTAAACTGTAACGCCACCGGCCACCCAGCTAGCTACAGAGGCTGCGCTAAGGCCCCGAAAACTCCCGCGAAATCGACGTTGCCCAAACCCTTAGATTCATTCCCGCGCCCGTACCCGTCGTAAACGCCTGGGCGAAACCCCAGGTGGCCGCGCAGGTAACCGCGCCGGTAATCCCGGTCGCCTCACGACCGATCGCGCAACAGCTGCCCGCCTCTCAAACGGCGCCGCGGCCCCAGGTGCAGCCAATTCCGTCAGTTTTCGCGGAAAACAAGGACGAACCATTCGCGCAAATAGCTAACATCTGCAGCTTATTAGATAGAATCAATAGGCAGGAACTCGCCGTATTGTCCGCTAAAATAGCGGCCGCCACATCTGGCCACGAGCGTCTTAGGGCAATTAGCCAACACAAAACGCTTGTGGAAGCCCTTTGGGCTTTTACGAGCCAACCGTAAAAAACAATAGTCCGCGCAATAAAACCGCGCTCCGCCGCGTCGTTAATTAGACCCATAAAAACACCTTAATGGGAAGTACAACCGCAGGTAGAACAAAACCTCGGGCTCTGGTTGTTTCGTATTTCAAAGCAAACGGCATAAAGGGTCAAAGGGATGAAATCGCGAAATTCCTTCGCGATTATAACGTAGATATTTTCCTAGTGCAAGAGACATTCTTGAAACCTAGTGTACGCGATCCCAGAATCGCAAATTACAATATTGTCCGCCACGATCAGTTAGCAATCTCGCGCTTTTCGCGGATGACACGGCGCTCTTTTACTCAGATCGCAACCTCAGTCAATTAACGACTCGACTCCAAAGCGCCGCCGACCGCCTCGGCGATTGGTTCCGCAAATGGAGAATCGATATTAATCCAGAAAAAAGTGTGGCGATTCACTTCACTCGTAGCACCCCCCCACCCCCATCCGCCACACCGTTACAAAGGTCCTCGCCAGTACAGAAAGTTGGGGCAAATATCACTATATGGCCAAACTCTCCCCTGGGAGAAAACGGTCAAATATTTAGGAGTCACTTTTGACTCGCGTATGACTTTCACTACGCACATCAATCAAGTCCGAAATAAAGCCGCGTTCGTCTCCGGCCGGCTACACAATTTAACGAATAAGAAAAGTAAAATGCCCTTAAGGCACAAATTACTGTTATATAAAGCTTGCGTAAGGCCAATCATGTCCTACGCATGCATGATCTTCGCACATATAAATCCTACGCGCATTAACGAATTGCGAGTAGTTTAAAAGTTTATCCGCCGCGCAACCGGTGCGCAATGGTATCAGCGCAACGTCGACCTGCACAGCGATTGCAGACTCCCGACGATTCGCGCACATTTTAAAGATTTGACAAAACGGTTCTTCGATAGAGCCCAGCATCATCCCAACCCTCTGGTGGTAAGCGCAGCAAACTACCTACCGGACACTAACGCGAACGTAAACAAGCGTCGCCCGCGAAACGTCCTCATCGACCCGGTCGACGAAGAGGACTTAGACACGATGGACCCACCGCCGGGGGTCCCGCCGAATAACAC